TGTTTTTTAGATACATTAGATTAAAAAAATATGAAGAACAGGGAGCCACGTGTCTATAAGAACGTTTTGCTCCATCTTGGATACGAAATGAAGTCGTGACACATATTTTACTTCATTTTCATGTGTAAATTATTGAAACATCACAAAGTGTGCCCACATTTTAGTGAAATCTAAATTAACTTAGATTATAATGTATTATTTGAGATAATAATAAATAAAACGAAAAGTAAATGTGCCTTTAGTCAGAGGCATTTGTACTTTGTCGACCGTTGTGATAAACGTTCGTATCACTCGTCATGCCCAAATTTCGCTGAGTATATTAGAATCCAACATTTGTTTTGGATAGAATGATAGATTGTACATGGTGACCGTCGCCTATAGACTCACGTCTACTTTATCACCACTTTCATCAGATGGGCCGTCAGCTTGTTTGCCATTCTAAGTTGCATAAAAAAAAAAGATTTACATTCTATTTAAGAACCTATATAACAAATATTATAGATTATTTAAATATTGTGGCATTTTAATGCATATTCGACGATATATGTTTTGCTGGCCTGTTTTGGGCGGTATCTGCTGCCGTGAAACGGTTGTTTCTAAATTAGAATCAGCGGAAACATAGCGTGTATATGAAAATGAAACGAACCAACAAACACAGAATGTAGAGTAATAATAATAAATTCAGATGGTTGCTAATGTTTTATTAATCTAATCATCAGGCCTAAAAAACGTATGTGATCGTCAATCTACATCGCCTGATCCTAAAACTGTATCAGTTTAAATGTAACGCCTACCTCTGCGGTGATGATAAACATCGTTAGCAAACTGTGAGGCGGCAGTGAGATGGGATGAATTTTACATGGCTTTCCTTCCTGTATACTAGGTGAAATTGGGGAAAGTCTATGTTTACTGCAACCATAACGGTCAATAGAGATTTACAGAATTACGTAAATCATGCATGCGGCAAAGATGTACTTATTTCATTATTTGTATTCATACTATGGCTTGGTGAAGTGGAATGTATATTTAAGTTATTCACACATGAGACTGTAACTGTAACGGTGTACCATATGATATTCTTATATAAAAATTACTGATTTAAGTACCAAAGGTTAGTCGTTTATCAAAAACTAACCAAGGGCGTGTCAGATACGCATTGATAGCACCATGTTTTAAGGTTATAATTTGCTCGTTTTAATAAAAGTTATTTACTATTCTTATTTCAGACCTTTTATGTTAATTAAATAAGAAAATTTATTTTCGGAACCGCCGCTTTAGACGATCAAAATGTTCATATTGGCCATATGATAGCTCAGTCGAATAAAGCAGGACTGTGGCCCCAAAATCCTTGGATGGAATCCCTGTGGGAACTTCTAAATTTCAAATTCATATTGAGGTTATTTTAATAATGATTGTCACTTAAAACTATCGTCACGGTAAACTTCATCAGAGGACTTCCTGTAGCTGTTCAAACATTGCCATTCATGATATATAGATACTAAAGTTTCACTAGGGTTACTTTTTATTATATACGCGTATATTACGCAACCCTAAAAATCTTGAACGTATGTTAATTTTAGATCACAATCATTGATTCTCAGTTCTGTGGCTTCTAATCAATCTTGGTTCTAGCTTAGTGTTATTCATTTTCATAAGTTTCGTCTTATAGATTCATTTAACCTACTCGTATATGGAAAGTGTCGCTATGACCTGTTTCAAAATATTTTCTTAACTAGTATGTATAGCTGTCATTAAGGTTATTTTGTTACATAGATTAAGAATAGTAACGTTTTGTCATTTACATTTGGTTGTAAACATGTAAAATTTTGCTAAACGTTTGGCTCAATAAATTGCTTAGAACTCTTGTCCATTATGTTTTTTGAAGTCATTATAGGGCATAATATTACAGATTGTTCATATATAACAAAGATAAAAGGATAACAGAGGTCAAGGCAATAACATGTAACTACAATACTCTATGCGTTTTTAAAGGTTAAAACATTCAGCTACCGTCGCCGGCGCTTCAGCGGGTCGTCACTATGCATAATTCATTGATCGGAGTCGTCGGTTTCTGTTTAACTATCGGTCTATAGACATTAAAATCCTTGTCTTGAATTTAAAATCACCATTTCCATCCATGTTATACTTATGGCATCAAACGTCTCATAAATTCGGTTATCAACAAGTTAATTTGGATTCTCAATATTTTAGATTTTTTTTGTTCTTGTACAGGGGTTCTTTTCTCTTATATTCTGATTATTTTAGCCTTTCGTTGTAGTCAACCTTCAAAGTAAAACATGAAAATGAAAAGTTGAGGCAATACCTGATTTTTCTATATTTTATCACTCCAGGCATACATGATGATGCTTTATAATGAATGACCATGTTAACTAGCAGTGAGTTTATTTTGTTGCTCTGGGCACTTGCCAGTCTGCCCTCCTAGATCAGACCCTACATTGATATAAACTACAATAAAACTTAAGAGTACCTATAAAATTATACCTTTTTCACATAAATTATTTAATTCAGCACATGATGGCAAGATTTTATATTTAATTATATTTTTGTGACATTAGTTTACACACATTCTGTGATCGTATAAGTTCCCCTTATACTCATTAAATTTCCTCTATAACATGAACAGGACAATGAACCAATTTAAATTTCAAATTATAGGGTCTGTCTGTCACCAAAGTAGCGGAAAGGAATTGTGTCAACGTATGTTTATCTAAACTTTAATTCAACGCTTATCTAGTGCCATAAACGCTCTGTACACGTTATCTTGTTTGGAAATGTTAAGAAAGATAACAACAATATTTTTAGTGATATATGCTCTAAATATCTTTTCTCAGGCTGTTTGAATTAATATTTTTGATTTTTGTAGATCGAAGCTAGAATAAATGTACTGAACATTTATTATATTACTCTGTGTACTTATACATAATTTAGTGCTTATATGATTGTCATGTTTCTACATGCCTATATTTATATTTTCACGCTAATATATAAATGAAAGAAGACTCGAGAGAACAAAGTGTCAACGCCCTCTATTCTTACATATATCTATAACTTCGTCTACTTTTATAAATTGTGCTATGCACGCGCGTTAGAATCGAAGATTCCATCGATCATAATAGATCAATGTAGTAGCCTGCATCCTTACATCTTCGCATCCATTCATTCGTAACAAAAACAACTATGAACGATGAGATTAGATTGAAGATATGCTAATTTAAAACACAGAATTGTACTCGTATGTCAAAATATAGATTTTGTTTCATAACAAGCACTTTTTGCTTTGTTCTATAAATAATAACGGCAGTTTCAGTCGTCACAAGTTCGATATGGGACTGGCATGGCAGTAAACTCTGTCGATTGCAAAACTAATATCAAAATCGGTTCAGAGTTGGTGACGTAATCACGTAATGTAGCTGAAAAGGACTGATGAATTAAAAACACCCTTCTATGATACATAATAAATTGTAACTTTCCTTATTAAATAACCGCACCTATTCCATACAATTTGTAAATCATCATCATCATCATCATCATCATATCAGCCTTTAACTGTCCACTGCTGAACATAAGGTTCCCCCTAGGGGGCTTTGCCAGTAGTTGCCACGCTTAGCAGGCGGATTGGCAACCGCAGTTCGGCTTTGTAGATGTTTTAAGAGGGACGCTGTTGACTATCTTTCGTCCTCCCTTAGTCGCCTCTTACGATACCACGGGGAAGGAAGGGGTAGCCTATTCTATACCGGGATCACACGGGATTTTTTGTTTGTAAATAAGTTCATAAAATGTTCAGTAATCATGTCATAATGTTCAGTAGTTGAAAGTTAAAACCGATCTGGTCTAATACACATATGATATTAAAACTAATTACCTACAGGGTCTTTTTATCTAAGCATCAGATGTTATAAAGGTTCATTAACTTTTATGGCCATTTGTCAATGTTTTCTTTATCACGTTATTGAATTTCAAACCTAGAACTGAATGCTATCTAGTCCACGATACAGCTCATTGCTTTAAATAATTACTGTAATATGCGTTTAATTAAGAATTTCCATAAATGACTGGATTTTGCAATGTTTGCTTTGGTTTTAATTTGATGTTGTAGATAAAGAACAGTAAACTTGACGAATATTTTTTGTATGTTCTTTGAAGTAAAAGAAGTTCATCGTAATTTATCTGTTTGTTCCATTACGTTGTTTTGTGATGTGAACATCACTAATGTCATTTATATCATACTTTATTAAAATTGTTTTATATAAAAAAAAACGACTTGTTGTAAAACCAAGTTATTTTGATTTAAAAACTGAACTACTGAACCGATTTTGATAAAATTTCAATGAGACCAATCTGTAACTATATTTTTTTATTTTACAAAAAATTTCCAAATCTATTTACATTTGACGGACTTATGAGGTAACAAATATAAAAACAAATTACAACCGAATTGAGAACTTTTATTTTAAAGTCGATTGATTATATGTTGTTTGAAATAATGTGGTATCTTAAAAACATTATATTTTATATATCTTAATAATTTAACCATATATATCATTATTTATCGTTGCTCTTATATTAATAATTATACAATAATTCCATTTGCTATAGTTTGTGTACAAATAAAACCTATCGGAGCGGTGCGGGCGGTGCATGTGGAGCGTCTTCTTAGTCTATGGCGTCTATTGTTGGCGGCACCTCGTTGCCGTCTATTATTGACTCGCTGCTGGAGATAGTTGGCTTTGCGCCAGCGCAAACCACGTGTTTTCTCGTCACGGGACGAGACATGCGCTTTAGTGCCCCGGCATTCTTTTATACTGTGTCTAGCCCCTCAAATTTTGGTTAGCTTAAAAACCGGTATGCGGAAGTATTTTTATAATAATTAGATACTTGAATAATTTATAAAAATAAAAAATAAAATCATAAATTAAGGAACGAACATGACTGGTATTCTTTAAAACACTACAATTGAATGTTTATTCTACTTGTTTCAGTTGAGAAACAAAATAAACAAGCACCAAAAATGAAAAAAGAGGTTGGCATCAAAGTATCTTGTAGCAACGGTCACGCGAGCACACCTAACGGTCGGGCGGACGACGAAGGCGGTGGTGGGACCGTTTCCACGCCACCGCGCGTCTCCTATGCGGCTGCAGCTCGAAAACCGCCTTCACCTCAGTCCGGTGCTACACCGGCACCTTTTCCTTTAAATACAGGTTGAAGTGCTATAAATTTAAATTTAGAAAATGTAGATATAAATTGTACCTAAATCAAAAAACGTTTATTAGTTTTGATGTTTTTAAAGAAAACGAAATATATTTTTATTTTTTAATCTCAATCGTATATTCTGTATTCACGCCTAATCTCTTACGGGGTAGAAGAGAGAATCCAGTGCTAATATTAAATAAATAAACAATAAAATGCCACGTGGTATTATTTTTAAATTTCTGTTTTTTATTGTTTAAGTATTCATCATCATTTTCGTGTCAATATCGGTATACTTATAATTATCCTATCTTGTTTTTTCAGAATCACAAAAAAATAAAATTAATGATAAGTCATCACAAACGAAATCAACCAATGCAACACTAAAACTTAATGGAGATGGATCAATATTAAGTGAAGATAGTAACAAAGAAAAATTAGGCACCAAAGAATGCATAGTCAATGGCACAGAAATAATAAGTGAGAATATTATAAATGGCGAAATAAAAAAAGATTTGGATTGTGATATTAGTAGTAGTGATAACACTAATTTAATTACTAATGGAATTAACAGTGATTCAGACGATACAAAATCTAGTAAGTCTGATGAGGGCAATGATATTTTATCGAGTAATGATCATGTTAAAATTTTAGAAAGTAAATCGGTGTCTGATAAAAAGAAAGATAAAAAGGGTAAAACGATGGACAAGAACATCAATTCTGATAAGAAAAAAGATTTGGTGAAAATTAAAACAATTGAAATTAAGAATGAACATGATAAAGTAAAGAGTGTAGAAAATGTGTCGGAGAAAGTTAATGGCGAGTGCAGTAAAATTGTTAATGGAGATAAGGATAGAGAGTCTACACCTAGTGAAGATGATGATGATAAAAAACGGGATGCTGAAGTTGTTTTTATTCAAGATATGGGTTTTACTGTAAAAATTGTCAGCCCTGGCGCCGAGCCATTAGATATTCAGGTATGTGTTACATTATTTTATCATTATTTAAAATAAATTTTATTATCAAATACAACATAATAAATTAGTACATAATATGCGTCTTTTTTTATGCGTATATTTTTTAAATAATAATTTTAGGTATCAAGCATGGAGCTGGTACAAGAAATTCATCAAGTGCTAATGGATCGTGAGGACACATGTCATAGGACATGCTTTTCTTTACAATTAGACGGCGTTACACTAGATAACTTTGCTGAATTAAAGAATATTGAAGGATTGAAGGAAGGCTCAATAATCAAAGTAAGTATTTTATAATTTTTAAACAGTTTTTGATTTTTTATGTGTTGCGTAGTAGCGTGTGCGTGATGTATAAAACCATTGTTTACAGGTCGTAGAAGAACCATATACTATGCGTGAAGCTAGAATTCACGTCCGTCATGTTCGAGACCTTTTGAAATCAATTGATTATACTGATGCATATGCTGGGCAAGAATGTAGTTCTCTTGCATTCCTCAATATTATTACCCAAGGCGACATATTAGGTAATTATATATACATATCATAAATATAGTTTTAAATAGATGTCACAATTGTACTTTCCATTGAATACACATTCTTCGCTATCTAAGCCAACAATATTACTAATAGAATAATACCTAATAGAACTCCGTCTAAATTTCTAATTGGACTGTACAAATGAAATTATTGTTAAAAAAACTTCGAGAGGGTTTCGCGTGGAATTATGTTTGCAATTAACAAACAGATTTTCGAACTCTTATTCCTAATAAATAGAAAAAAAAAAATATATGTCGCTTGCCTTCTTGTAGATTGAAATTTTTGTGGCATCCATTTTAAACTATGAAGCAAGTAACTTTCAATACAGTTTTATGCTACTTGTTTTTACTTTTATTTAATTTGCGATCCTTTTTGATTTGTCTTTCAGAGAAAAAGAAATCTCGGCCAGAAAGTGTAGATTGCACACCACCTGACTATATTATGCCAGGCAGCACTGAGCGTCCATTGCTGCCTTTGCATCCTGGCCTTACTAAAGAGAACAAGGCGCCTCAATGTTTAAAGGTAAGGATTTCTAACCTTATATTTCTAACGAGTAACATACAATAATTTTAGATCTGAAAATAATAGTGCTGATCTGCAGATGATTTTTATGAAAACTGTAAGAAACAGATGAAGAACTGTTTAAAAACAGGCAGACTTAGTAAGAACAAATGTTATTGCCAGGTGTTAACGACGTCCGGCTGGAACCCGCCACCTGGGCCGCGAAAGATGTGTGGAGACCTGTTATACCTCCACGTTATCACACTCGAAGACCGCCACTTCCACATCACGGCATGTCCACGTGGATTCTATCTCAACCAGTAATGAAATCCTTTTATATTTACAATGGCACTGCATGTGACCAGTATAAATTACACTCTATTGTCACTAATTAGCTATAACATCGGTTAGTCCTTGATGTTATTGTAGAGAAGTTTCGTAATGTTAATTCTCATTGTATATTTTATTAAGGTAATATTTTGTATGAAAAAAAGGAAACTACGGTAATTTTATCATATTTGAAAATGTTTCGTATTTAACAATTAGTTAACCAATAATATCTTTAAAATATCCAAATAATTACGATTTTCTCCTTACATTTTTCTCAATCCTCTGTATTAAACCTATATGTATATATTCTGTTTCTAATAGTGCAACTAAAACTGTTTTTTTTTTATGTATGATTCCTTATATTTTTTTTATTTAAATAAACATTTATAATTTTTATACATGCATGCATGCATTGTGTGTCCCCATTTTGTACATCGTTTGGATTACTGATATATAATTAAAATAAGTATAGTACTCAATTGGGGTATATGGTTAGTTTAAAAGTAATTTAATTGTAATGTACAACAAATAATCAGACAGTATCTAGTTACTGTAATACTTTATAGCTAGAGAGGTCTAGTATTATAAAATATTATAAACTAAAAAATCATATCTTTCTAAAGCAAAGCATGTAATAAATAAAGATTTTTTAATATAATAAATAATGAAAACATAATAAATAATAAAAATCTTATTAACTTAGTTTATGAATATGTTTTAAACAGTTAATAATTTATGTATCATTCATCAGGTCCACCGAAGAAGTGTTCAATCCTCGCCCTTCGAATCCAGCCCTTGTTGTGTCATTCGTTGATCGAGCTACTTAGTATAGTGTCATCAGCGTTCAAGCGCAACTTCGCTTTGGTACAGAAACGTAGGATGCAGAAACATCCATTTGAGAGGGTGGCCACCCCTTACCAGGTGTACCAGTGGGCCTCGCCGGTACTAGACCACACTGTTGATGCTATACGCGCTGAGGATAGTAAGTAAAGAGAAATATAATAATTACTATTATTTTGGTACATATTGAATATTAGAGGATACTCATTGTATTGTACAATATTGATGTGATCTCGAGTAGACTGCCAGAGATAGATTTTGTATAAATGTCATTTGCATGTCCCACTTGAGTTTCTGACTGGCATAGCTGTGTTTCGATTTGACTAGTGGGTTATGGTGGTGAAAATATAAAGTGTAGAGGCATAATACCATGGGTCTTCGGGTGTGAAATATAAGCATAAGGAGTATCATCATAGTGCAATTTGTGATGAACTGATTAGGTCTGAACGAAGAGTCATAGTGACACCTGATGGAAAACGGCAACCTACGCACATATAGATAGATTATTTTCCATTTCAAGATACATAAAAAAGCTTTTGCTATGGTCGAATAGTATATATGTAACTTTGCTTGACTAAGATAAGAGTCTAACAAACGTGATCACCAGGGTTGCCATATACGATTTTTTATTTTTACTCAAATGTTAAATATTTTTTCTCCAAATCCACACGATTGCTTTTTATTCAATCTTAAATTTGTATCGATTTTCACTATGTTTTATCATTAATCACAAAGCGAATGATGAAAAATAAGTATCCGCGTTTCTGTATGTTTCTACTTTTAGCTTTATTGTCTTTCATATATTTCATATATCACTATACACTTTACAAGTACCAACATTGCCAAAAAATGTATCCAAATTTCTCTAAGCCCATTTCATTTTTCTGCAAACACTTCTCCAATAACTTAATTTTTCCAAAATTTCGCGAACTGAATTTTTTTTTTATCCAAAATTGTCAAATAGTACCGTGATAGACAATAGTGGCAATGCTGAATCACACACATCGGAATCATTTTCATTCTGACTTAACTTGTTACAGAAAGTATAACTGTGAAATGATGTTTGAGTATTAATGTCCGACTAGAGTCTTAATTGGCTGATTATTTTTTCTAGCTTTTTCATCGAAACTGGGGTATGAAGAACACATACCCGGCCAGACCCGAGATTGGAATGAGGAGTTGCAGACAACCCGTGAGCTGCCACGGGCCACACTCCCGGAAAGGCTCTTACGTGAACGCGCCATTTTTAAGGTGATCCAGTTCATTATTTATTACACATATGTAATAAGGACAAATTAATGTATTGATTTAAGAAAACATCCTATCTAACTTTTTAAGGTACAGTGATATTACAATTATGTAACTATCTTTATTTAAGTCGATAAAATGTCCTTACCTATTGTATATAGTTTCGTCACATTTATTATCAGCATTTTATCACAAATGACATGAAAGTACATGGTTTTCTAATGCAGTAATATTATTCTTGTTTCATTTATCGTTACTGAAGAGACAAGAGATTACGTAGCACTTATATATATATACTAATGTAATTTTATAGCTACATTTGTCTTGCAATGAAATTCAAAAGACGAATATAGTCAATTTTATTCAATACCAGTAAACATTGTTTGAAATTAAAATAGTTGGCTGACGTCAGTTATGATAGATATATATACAGAATTGTTTAACTGTATTGAAAGGATATATAAACATGGTGCCTATATATATATATATATATATATATATATATATATATATATATATATATATATATATATATATATATATATATATATATATATATAACTATGAGAAAATTATAACAACTCTTAATTCATTGTGTATATATAAATAATTAGATTTTATCAAGTAGGAGATTATCTCACAACAACATTTTAACTATTTTCTTTCATTTAAAAATTCACTCTTCAAAATTTAACATTCATTTTAACTCTTACAAAATATTTATGAATAATACAAATTTTTTGTGACCGCTGACTGGCTGGTTGGTTTATAGTATAAATTAGCAAAGCAGTTCAATTTACATTGTAAACTGCCTGGAAATAAGAATTCATAATACGACCCGTTTCCTGGAATTCGTGGTATATAATATATTCATAGACTAATTGACCAATTAATTGTTATCTTCCGATAAGACTCGAAACCGTCCGTATCCTTCAACTATCGAGTTTCAGTGTGTTACTAATTTATTTTTATTGTATATTCCACAATTAAATGACAGTTAATATGACAGGTTCACAGCGACTTTGTGGCGGCAGCGACTCGTGGCGCTATGGCCGTTGTAGATGGCAATGTAATGGCGATCAACCCTGGCGAGGAGCCTAAGATGCAGATGTTCATATGGAACAATATCTTTTTCTCGCTTGGTTTTGACGTGCGTGATCACTACAAGGACCTGGGCGGTGATGCCGCAGCCTTTGTTGCACCGGTAATTTTTCTTTTATGCACCTTAGAATGGCTAGTTGCCGTTGCCTATATACATGAACAGTACAATGGACATAACAAAATACATTGTGTCATATATGATATCCTTCATGCGTTGTCAGATACGATACAAAGACATAATACCTTAGCCCTCATGAATGGTCCTGAGGACTAAGGTATTATGCCTCTGTATCCCATAATTTCATAGCCATATCCCATCTTTCAAATTGAAACACAGCCGTACATACAACCATAACTGTATCTCGGTATAAACACGAATCGGATAGAAGTAATTATAAATTTTATAATTAAGGTTATTAAAAAAATATATTATAGATCTATCCTCATGGTAAGTAGTTTTTTAAGCAATTTCTTAACAAAGCAATTTCTCTTTTTTTTTTTTCAATTGATATTGGAGACGAATTTTAGTAACATACGTTCTAGTCACCGGTGATTTCTAAATAAGTATGCAAATTCTAAGATATTCTATATAAAATAGCCGTTGACATAATTCAAGTACATGCCCATTGGGCAATTTCGTATATATCACTATGATTGAGAGTGATCGACGCATGCGGGGAATCCGGGCGGGGTTTCATGTCTTGTTGCGTACCATATGATCCTCTAGTTAGTGGGTCAATGATTAGCTTTAATATTAAATATTAATTGGTTAAAATTTGTATCGAACAATATGTATAATGATAATTATTAAAAGACATTTCAATGATGTTTTTGAATAATTGACGTGATATTTATCAGTTACTCTTTGACCTAAATAATTTAATAGTGAACGTTACTTGAATAAGTCATAACGTAATCTAGAAAAATAAGAATATTTGGTAACATCTTTTATGTTCCTGTTATTTAATATGTTCGTTAAACATTAAAATTTGATTGGTTCCGTTAATAACTAATGTCTTTCTAATCGTATTAACAGTTTCACGCATCGGCAAATTTTTAATTATTACTAATTTATATAGTAAGGATATGTAATTATCATTGATATGATTATGATAAAATTAAATCCGAGTTATTAATTTAAATATTATTATGTTTTCTATATATTAAGTAGGTCGATACAACCTTCGGACCTACGCTGATAGTATGGATAAACAAAAATGAATCGATACGTAATATCGGTTTTACAGTAAGTTATATTGTACATAGTCATAATTAAATATCGATAATCTTGATTGGTAACACAATATTATTATTATTTTTTTTTTTTTGGTATCTATCAGAAACTGAAGAATTTGTCTGATATGTATAGATTGTTTACGATAAAATCTAATAAATTAAAAAATGTTAGAGAAAATACTTAAAAGGTTCCGACCAAGGAATATAATATTTCTCTGGTTGGACTACTACTGAAGATGTTTTTTCATAAACATTAACAGATCACTACGCATATGTATATGATCACACATATCAAAGTTAATGTTTGAAAGGGCGTGCTATGTTAATGTAGACAGTCTATACATAAAAATATACCTATAAGATATGCGACAAGTGTAAATATCAATTCTTAATGATATTTAATTATGAAATAGATTAAACAAAAAGTAAAAAAAAAAAACAAAATATTAAAGGTAATATTATTATTAAATATAATACGTAACAGTGAATTTCTATTATTTGTGTTTGAATCATACATAATCTAAGTAATTAATTTAACATAATATTTAGGGCACCAAAAGCATATTTGAATATTTTCTGCAATAAAAAATTAACTTAAATTACGTAAATGTTTAAATTAGTGACAGGATTAAATATTGCCTTGTGTTAATTAGGTTATAAAATAACGCATGGTATAAGTCTTATACTGATTGCCCTCTTTTTCCCAGCGCAATGACCTGCAAGGTGTACGCGTGTACAGCGCCGTAGACACGCCGGGCCTGCATACGCTAGGCACCGTTGTGGTGGACTACCGCGGGTACCGCGTCACCGCACAGTCCATAATTCCTGGCATTCTCGAAAAGGAACAAGAACAGAGCGTCGTTTACGGCAGCATTGATTTTGGAACTACTGTTTTGTCGCATCCAAAGTACATGGAGTTGGTGAGTAATTTTCTTTTATGCCACGCATAAAACAACGACATTGCAACAACGATTGTAATCAAAGGGAGACTACAAAGTTATAACTTGCTCGCATGCTATATTTTGACTTGACTTTTGACTGTGAGGTATGATAGTCAAATTATATGCTATGTACGAGATTATATACATAAATTTAAAACAGTAGTCTCTAATGTTAACTTTAAGTTTTTCGCGTTGATAAGAAACTGGAGGTAACATAATCATTTAGATAATATATAATATACATATGTCAATTACTTTTCCTGTACAAATAAATAATTACAAATTATTTGATTCGATTTATTTTGTTTAATTCCGCTGCTGGTTAGTACGTATGCACTGCGAACATTCGAAGATTGATCACCACTGTTACTAATGACACACTTACTAGAAGTCCCAAAACCTTCCATATTAGCTATCAATCTCCGACTGCCATTTTGCTTACACACATTTTGCGACACGTGTTTCACCTAAATGAGGCAAGGGGAAAGAGATTGTTAGTAATGGGAAGGTTAGTCCTCATTGTTATCAATATATCCTATCAGGCCGAACTCCACACGGTTTCCCCTGGAAACTATCGTGACTAATGTTGAATTCGTCACGATGGGCTAACGAATCTGCCTTTTCAGTCTTACCAAACACCTCTTATTGGTGCCCCGTCAGTGTATACCAGTAGCGCAGGCTGGGTTACTATTTCATTATCATACATTAAAAAAAAACCTAAACAAGGTATTTTAAGGCAAAGGACAATCCCTTTTTGACAAGACTGAAATTATAAATGAGAAAGAGAAAATTTGTTACCTCTTAGTACAATTGCGGTTTAGTATTTACTGTGGATATAGACTACTTTTTATCTCTGAAAATGTTATTCTGATAATGTCAAAGTCACAGAGGAACTAGTATGAAATATATTTTGGACTTTTTTATATTATTATAGGCATAACAATAAAAGAATAATAAATAATAATGTTTATAGAATATAATATTAATAGATTATTTATAGGTTTTAACTGATAAAGATAGTGTTGCTTACTGCAATGTGACCTCGCTGAATGCAATGTAAGGTCATACAGTAATTAATACAGTATGATTTCTCATTTTGCATTCATTGTATTGTTATATAATAAAAACATTATTACAATTTTTGGACGTCTGTTTTTGTCATCGAATTTTTTTTAATAATTTTTAACTTAATTATTACTGTTAAATATAGTTGTTCAGTTCTATGAAAGCTATCATTGTGTTTTGATTTTTTTATATAATTATTGATTACCCCTTTTCAGTTCAATAATATGTAGATATTTTTTTTTTGGGAAATTAATGGGGCTACTTTTACAACCGAAGTCGCTGGCACAGCAGATGGTTGTTGTTTAGTATTTGATAAGGTTTCTTGATTGTTTATTTATAGGCATGTTAGTATATAAATATAAACAAATGATAAGAATTGCATTATAATGATTACAGTAAATTGTTTTGATTTTAGTTGATTCATGCAATACTTAATTGTTGTTTCTGCATGTGAATTTACTATCAAATATTATTATCTCTAGATTATATTAATTGTACTTATTTTGTAATATGATTTAATTATTTGTAATTGATATCGCAAAAATAGAATTTTTAATATCTTTTCAATCAAATTAATATTCAAAATTTTAATCAAATAAGGTAAAATTTCGTGTTTGATAGGTATAAAAGATACCATTAAATTAATTCAATGTTTAATATTAATCTTATTGTATTATGTTCTATTTCATTAGCTTGTTTTAAATTATCCTTATGTTCGAATTTTGAAAGCTTCGTTTGATTTGTTACAGTTAAGCAAGGCTGGTCAGCAGTTAAAAATAATGCCACACTCTGTGATCAGCGCCAACGGCGAAACTGTGGAGCTCTGTTCTAGTGTAGAGTGCAAGGGCATCATTGGCAATGATGGGAGGCACTATATCCTTGATTTGCTGCGTACTTTCCCGCCAGATGTCAATTTCCTTCAATGTAAATATTTTTTTACATATTGAAAACTTATTTTGTCCGTACTGTACATACAAAATAACAGATTTTTTCTTCTTCTTTAAAGATGTATATTCAACTACATAATATTCTATAATAATTCTTTTAATTATTATTGCATTTTTATACATCTTTTAGTACATATTTTTTTTATACCACTGAGGTGGCAAAGAATCATACGGCTCACCTGATGGTAAGTGGATACCGTGCCTATGAACACCTGCAATACCAGAGGTATTCGGTACTCGTGAGTTGCCGACACTGAAGAAACCTTTACCCCCCTTTTGAAAAACTCCATGCTGTAGGCTCTTGGGAAAACTCGGCAAGGAGTTCATTCCATAACCTGAGTGTTTGTGGGACGAAACATTTCTGAAACCGCGCTGTACGTGACCATTTAGGCTGTAGGATATGAGGATGAACTCCTTGTCGATGGCGAGCCGTACGATGGTAGAAAGTGACCGTGGGCATCATATTGAACAATTCCTCTGAGCACAATCCGTTGTACAAGCGATAGAACACGCAGAGTGAAGCAAAATCTCTCCTAAGACTTAAGGGTTCAATACTGCTTGTAAGTCTGGGATCACCGACAATTCTCATAGCACGTCGTTGCAACGAGTCGAAGGGTTCAAGCTGGTATTTAGGTGCTCCTGCCCATAAGTGACAGCAATACTCCATGTGAGACCGGATTTGCGATTTGTAGAGCATTAATCGCTGATCCGGCGTGAAGTAATACTTCGCTCTATTAAGCACACCGGGTTTTTTGGATGCCAGCTTCACCTTATTTTCGAGGTGGCCACGGAATTGTACATCACAAGAGATGTCGACACCAAGGATTCCAATGCTTTAAAGATGTTAAGAGACGTGCGTTGGAACTGTGGAGCCACAGCAAATGTTTTTTTTAGCGGTAAACGCGCAAGCTTGTGTCTTAGCGGGATTAAACTGGACTAAGTTTTGTCGTCCACATAGTAGTAAAACTAATAATAATCTGTGCAGTAATTTATCATGGGCAATTTAACAAACAGAGAAATATGTACATATTTATAATACTATATTTTGACTTATGTGAATGGAGAAATAAATATTTAAAAATCTTAATTTTTTATTTAGATTTAATAACTAAAATAGGGATATATTTATGTAATTATTTTTATGTTACTTTATTCATTTATATCGATTTAAGTAATCACATTTAATTAGCTTTATTTTCGCATGTGTTTATGAATTACTAGACCGAGGTTACGATGATGATACAGCCATAATGATAACGAATTTAGCATGCAACTCATTAGTTTTTGTATCAGTTATTTACATTATTACTATTATTAGAATTCAGTCATAAAAATGGAGATTTGATGACATGCAAATAAAATTAGCATAAATGAAATGTCAATGACTTATTGATTAGATACAAATTATGTACATAATTTTAGTTTTTCTGAATTAATAAGTATATATGTATGCTTTTATATGTACATATATTAATGTGAATCTAACATCCAATTTTTTTATGGAGCATACTGTATGTATATAGTTTTTTAACATGTCTATATTTTAATGTGTATTTAATATTTTATTTTTTTACACACACAAATCTCGGAAATTTTCCATTAATCATTTATTTATTCTTTGTTTTTACAGTGGAAGATGATGAACTGAGGGAGGACATCAAATCAATGGGATTCCCTATAATTCACAAGCATAAACTTTGTTGTCTACGTCAGGAATTAGTGGATAATTTTGTTGAGTAAGTACAATTTATCTAATCCTGCTTGTTGTAATTTTATTAAATTATGTTTCATGAAGGTTACTTATCTCTTTATAATATTAAAGGGCCCGTTACTTCATGTTCGTTCGATATGCTGCATTTCACCTTCAGCAATTAAGCACAAAGAACCAAAACGAACCTACGGAAGGAAAGAAATCTATAGAAGCAAGCAAGAGTGATTCTAAAGTGGTGGCTACTGAGACTGAAGTTAAGGAAAGTAAAAATAAGGATAGTAAGAGCCAAGAAAAAGAAATTAAAGATAAAAAACAAAAGAAAGAAGACAAAAAAGAGGATAAGCAAGATAAAAAAGAAAGTGCCAAAAAAGAAGTCAAGAAGAAGACGGAGACTGAGAAAGAAGAATCAAAGGAAGAAAAGACCAAAGATGATGAATTACTTCTTAATGATAATTATTCTCAAATTGATACAGATGTTGCCAAAAAAATTGTAGAGAGCATCACAGATTCCATATGTAGTGGAGAAAAACAAGATAGTGACTGTAAGTTTTGATTTGCTCATTGTATTTTTATACTTGCTTATTATATTTGACTACTGATGATTTTATAGTTATTTGTTTCATTCTGTAAGAGACTATGTGAAGACTTTTTGATATTAGCTTGGCTATTTAGCTTCAAATTTTATAGAAATAAAACAATATAATCATATTACTTATAGCTATTGCATTATGCTGACAGAATTATTATGAACAACTTTTTAATTTACTAGAGTTAAATTACCTTCTATCATAACCTCTAAATATTGTAACATTTAAAACTAAGGAAATATATAAAACAACAATAATTGCTTATAATTTAGCTCAAGTCTTATGAGAGTTCACTTTTTCAGTTCAGTTTCAATTTTACTCCAATTTCTACAGTTTGTAGTTTTAGGAAACACATTTATATTGAATTATTAATACGACTTTTTTAGTCTTTTTTGTAATAAAATTGTTATTTGTCTCTCAGCTGGTGAGCGCACCCGCGCTGTGGTTTCCGCGGCAGCGCGAGCTGTCGCCTCCTTAAAGGAGTCCGAGTTTGACGTCCGCTTCAATCCAGACGTGTATTCGGCGGGCATCAAGCACGCCGCCTCGCCTGAGCACCTCGCCAAGCAGCGCCACCTGGTAAAGGAGGCCGCTGCTTTTCTACTCACTACACAGATACCTGCCTTTGTGAGTATATACTGCGTATTTACTTTTATTTACCTTCCAAACAAAAGTTTTATATATGTGTATTTAGGGAATATGTATTTTAAATGATTAATTGGTTTTTGTGAATGGGAGTATTAGATTTCTTTCAATTATGAGGGTGTTTTGGTTTACATGATGTTAGTATAAAACAAAAAATTGCATTCATAAACTTTAACATTTGCGTGATATAACCGTGTATAATTGTAACTATAATTTAATTGTACTCAGATTGCATAAATATATATTAGTATTTTTGTAGCTCTATTCCTGATATCGTCCTTTAATTGTTGTTTATTTTTATTAATTGACATATACGGTATCAGGTGCGCGAGTGCGTGGAGCAGTCGTCGACGCCAATGGATGGCGCGGGTCTGGCGGAGGCGCTGCACGCGCGCGGCATCAACCTGCGGTACCTGGGGCGCGTCGCGGTCGCCTTGCAGCCGCACCCTTCGCTCGCGTACTTACACGCCATCGCGGTCGGCGAGCTGCTGCTGCGCGCCGCCAAACATATCTACACCGCGTATTTGCAGGTATATAACCGCGCGCATCGCAACCTTTTTCTTTTTTAAATATAATTATTATACTCACGACATTATTCTATCTGAAAAATATGGCCGCTTTATTTTTATATAATATAGTCCGCGGAGAATATCAACGTATACGATATTTAGCTCAAAGTTATGCAATCAGAATGAAATAGGAACATAAATAGTTTCAATGAATAGCAAAGTCAAATATTAATTTTTTTTAATTTTAAATGTTAGAACTTAGTTTCATATTATCTAGTCTATAAGTTTTATATATCTCATATATATATTTTAATAGTTAAGACAACGGGGCGATAGGACAATGGGGATTATTATCATTACGGAGCTCGGTGCCTAGTACTTTTTAAAATTGATAATAATGGATTTGAAACCTCATCTACGCCATTGGTAAACGCTAGTAGGGCATCAGTGATGTTGATAGATGAAGACAAAGTCGGGTCAGTTCTCTCTCATGACTAATTCACTAGAAATTAACTACGATGTTTTGTAAGGTAGACAGAGTGGAGCAAGTATAAAGGATTGTTACGGCGGTATGACATGACGATACGTTGTGGGTGTGCGCGCAGGGCTGCGAGCCGATGTGCGTGGGCGCGGCAGTGGCGCACTTCCTGAACTGCCTGGTGGGCGGCTGCGCCAGCGCGGGTGCGGGCGCGGCCGAGACGCCGGCGGCGGCTCGCGGCGGCGGCCGGGGCGCCCGCGGCCGCCGCGCGCGCCGCCACCACGCCGCCGCCGCGCCCGCCGCCGCCGCCGCCGCCGCCGCGCCCGCCTCCGACTGGAGGAATCTCACGCAGAAGTCTCTCTTTTCGCAGATTAAGCAGGAGCTCAAGGTTAGTGGAAACTTCGTGAAAATTGATTGTATTAAATAATGTTTTTTTGACTGGAGGTTAATTTTTAGAAGAAAGTAGAGGTTATTTGATTAGAATTGTTTTGTTTCATTTAAAAAGTAGAAGATTTTGAGATTGTAAAATATGATGGCAACTCTGTACAATTATTTTATAGTAGGCAATTGTCTCTATAGAATTTCAATGAAAAATGGAAGAGATAAAAAGATTAATAAATAAATTGTTATAATTCATATCACCTTTACTCACGTGTTACAGTATAATTCAACAATATATATTATTTGTAAATAACACTTTCATATACAAATATGTTTTTATCAATTTATTTTATAATCAAGTTTCTGTTCAGGCATACTGGGGTTATGAACTTAATGCTGAAAACATGGATGCAGTTATAGAAAAGCATGGCCTTCAGAAAATATCACTTCTCAGGTAACATATTTTTGTATACATTTTAATGTAATAATATTATATTCTGAAATTACAAAAATTCATATTAATAAGATAATTTACTTTGCAGGTCCTTTGCACTTAAAGTCGGTTTGCAGATAATGTTGCGAGAATATGATTTTGACAATAAGAATAAACCGACGTTTAATGGATCTGACATTATGAATATTTTCCCTGTTGTTAAACATATCAATCCTAGGGTAAGTATACTTATTTAATTTTATATTTAGTTAGTATTTAAAGATAAAAGTGATTAATTTAATAAGATTTAAACTTTTGTTTTCTATTTTAAATACACAGTCGGGACTTAACGCGATGCAAAAGCTTTCTGTTTTTATTTTTATTATTTTCGAAATATTACTTTTACTTTTTAGTGTACAAAAAGCATTTAATAAAAATAAAGATTTGTTCATTTGCAATTAATTTCAGGCTTCAGATGCATACAATTTCTACACGACCGGTCAGAACAAAATACAAGCAGGCGCTGTGAACGAAGGCCATGAAATGATCGCGGAAGCCCTCAACCTGCTGAACAACGTGTACGGCGCGATGCACGGCGAGATCGCGCGCTGCTTGCGGATGGTCGCCCGCCTGTGCTACGTTACCGGCGAACACCGTGAAGCCATGGCCTACCAGCAGAAGGCCGTCCTCATGTCTGAGAGGGTCAACGGCATCGATCACCCCTATACAATTACTGAATATGTAAGTTTGCGTATAATTTTGGTGATCTAGCAATTAAACACTGTGTAGTCCTCTGATAATGGTAGGTTCAATCCCCACCATATGATTTCTTCAAAGCTCATATTATAGCAAATCTTTTGCATTGGTCTTTTCATTATCTGTGTATTATATGTCCATATTTACATGAATATTTTGACTATTTAATAATTATTTAAAAATATGATTTTCTTAAAAAAATTGCTTGAATAATTTGTACAACACATCCGATATTTCTAGCATTAACACTTTGGATTAGACGACATTGAATCAGTAATAAGTCTGGAATTATTTTTCATGTGTAAAATTTTAATAATAATATTATTTATAAGAATTTATTATAATTATAAATTTATTAATCACAATACAAATTCGATCTTTTGATTACCCACATTATTCAGTAGGCATGTGATTAATTTAATTTTTTTTTCTAGTCCCACCTCGCCTTGTACTGTTTTGTAAATGGACAAGTGAGCACAGCGCTGAAGCTTTTATATCGAGCTCGCTACCTCGCACTGCTCGTGTGCGGCGAAAATCATCCTGAGATGGCACTGCTAGATGTAAGTTATTCATTACAATAATTCAATTTTTAAAATTTATTAGTTATAATAATTTTGATAAATACATTGTGTGTGTTGTTATATTAGACGCAAACTGGTATTTTTATGTTTCACTAGCTTTGCGTGTTGACTTTTAAGATTATGTTGTTGAATAAACGTTAATATATATATATATATATATATATATATATATATATATATATATATATATATATATATATATATATATATATATATATATTAACGTATCACAGAAAAATATAACAACCGTAGTATGGATGACAAAAAAAATGTACGTATGTGGAAAAGCAGAAATGCGTTGTCCATACACTTAAAAATGTACCTATAACAAATACGTATGACACCGAAAATGACCTAAAATTTTACGTTATGTGAAATTAAAATGGTGCTAAATTTGTTTGGCGATATATGCACAGAGCAACATCGCGCTGATACTGCACGCGGTGGGCGAGTACGAGCTGTCGCTGCGTTTCGCGGAGCGCGCGCTGAGCGTGACGACCAGGTCGCACGGCGCGCGCTCGCTGAAGGCGGCCACCGCGCGCCACCTGCTCGCGCGCACGCTCTCCTGCCTCGGCGACTTCCGCGCCGCCCTGCACCACGAGAAGGAGACCTACTCCATCTACAAGCAGCTGGTCAGTGCCTCTTGTCACCACTAAACTATATTTTATGTAATCTTTATGTTTTTTTTTTGGTGTACACACACAAACAAAACTTTTAACAATAGAATACAACAATAGCATTATAAGTTTGCAATCCAATTATAGTTGTACTCAACATTCACAGAGATGAAACAGAATAGGTTGATTTTTACTACAAAAAGAATTAATGATAAAAACTAGATACAAAACAAGAATCAAAAACAAAACTACCAAACTATGCTTATTATTAGGTTATCAATGTATGTAAAGTGCTTCGATACAATAAAAATTTCTGATAGAATATGTCAATATCCGATTTACAATCAATGTCATTGTACAATTTGCACATTCTGTACATTGGATTATTATCCTGAATATTTATGTCCATTTCATACCAATTTGTTTGCAGGCGATGCTAATGACTATTTTGTTAAAGCATGTCCCTATAGCTGGAGATATCATCCATCTTGGCAAACATATTATATATAGTATATTTCGCAATCTCGCTTATAACTTACCTTTATTTGTCACAGATAAATCTAATTTAGTCTAAATAATTATCAAAGAGGTAAATTAGTCTTAAACTAAAAATTAGCATAAGTGAAGAAATTAAACACATAAACCTTTTTATTTTAGCTAAAAAATATAATAATCTGTCTTATTTTTAAATGTTTAATTTTACCAAAAAAGGATATGGCCATGATTGTTTACTAAATATACCAAGTTTAAAAATAGACAAAATTTGTCTCTAGTGTAATCGTATTCCAGTAACTGATCGGTTGTCAACAGCTTGGTGAGAACCACGAGAAGACGCGCGAGTCGTCGGAGTGCCTGCGCCACCTGACGCAGCAGGCAGTGGTGCTGCAGAAGCGGCTGGCGGAGGCGTACGCTCGGGCGCCGCACTCCGCGCCCGCGCACCCGCCGCTGCACATACAGCCGCCCGGCATGGCTTCCGTCATTGACATGCTCAATCTCATAAATGGCATACTCTTCGTGCAAATTAGGTAATATAAAATTTCGTATCTACGTTTATAATACTGTCCATGTTTACAGGGGACGCGATGGTTGTCACTTTTAATCAGATGAGTTTATTAACAAATTTCTCATTGTAATCTACAAAATAAAATTAAGATATTGTCCTAAAAGTAAATGGCTACTTTAATTTGGCAAATTGAACATGTGATCTACTCGAGAATATATATATATATAGTAACTTCATAATAATAACTAATGACACTACTTCTACAAGATACATCTATACTTACTAACATATTTTTTTTTGTCACAGTCGCCATGATATTGAGCAGTTCAAGGCAGAAATAGAAAAAAGACAACTGAAAGACTTACCGCTACCGGATGTTCTGAATGAATTGAGCGTGAAGGCTGCAGACGCAAGCGCCTTGGTAGGTCCGGAGGTGGGCGCAACGTTGCAAGCGGAAAGTTGAAACGTCGGTGAGCAGCTCGGGACTCGTTCGTCTCTGGACTATGTTTAGTGATAGTAAGCGAGTCGGCTTGACTGCCGAGCGACGGAGCGTTCGCAGCGAAGTATGTTCCACTAATAGGACACGTACGATATTGTTACTTTATAGTTATTGATTGATGATATTGTTCCTTATATTATGAATGTATGCCGTAGTGGATAGTGTGCTAAGGTTTGATGTAGATTTTTTTTTTGTTAGTCAAATTTTGAGAATATTATTTTGATCAAATAATTAAGTGTTTAAAATTTTATGAATTCTCGCAGTGCGTGCAATAGTTTTTATTTATGCATGTGCATATCTATGTTACTATATTTCGCTCAAATCACGGAGATGTAAGTTTAATTTTATGCTCGCGTACACATTTCACAATTGTATGAACATTCAAAGTAGTGCAATTTCAAAGTAGTGATAATAGCAATAAGTTTTGGTTGTGAACCTGTGAGCGCGCGCGTCGCTATATTAATGGTACTGGTGCTACTGCCAACTTGTCCTTCGTATAATGATTTTATGATTGTTAGCGTCGAGTATTATTTTATTTCCTTTTTTAGCGTGGGAGTATATTTGTTGAAATATCCATAGACGTAGATATTCAGTTATATTGTAATTGAAATGTAACAGGGTTTCGGAAGTCCTGATTTAGTAATAAACATACGTCAAAATATGTCCATGCAGAGAAGTAATTGAACAAGTTTTAATAATTACAGTCTTGTGATAGTAAACACTGTCCTTATTTTAGTTTCAGGTTTTAGTAATTAGTGCCATATAATGTAGTGAATGTAAGTTCTTTATGTAATATTTTTGTTAGACTGTGATATAGAATGTTTTATCAATTTATCATCGAGCAACTTGCCTTGTATGTGCGATATATAGACCTTCGTAATGGTAAAGAATGAAAACGCTTTAAAAAAAATGTTAAAATTGTTAAGTAACTAGGATTGTGAATTTAAACTATTATCAAAAATCACAATCGTTACTTATCTGAAATGCTTTTAATAATATCTTATATAAAACATTGAGTAGGTCATATTTATACATCCAAAAGCAGATGTTTAATGGTATGCTTACTTTTTAACAGTAATATTTATACTAGTCAGCGTCATCTAAATAATTCTTTATTTTTTGGCATGTTTCGCAAAAAAAAAAAAAAAAAACTGAATTGCAGTTTATTCTCTCGTATTTATCTCGAATTGTTCATGATTATTCCATATCAGTAGATTGTCATGGCTGAATTAAATCGGATTGTGCCTTATTCAGCAATGTGTCGTGTTTTAGTATTTTATTTGTCGTAAAGAAATCTTGGCATTATTCGATGTAATATTCGGAAGTAAGCATCGCCATTCCCTAAATTGGTTTACTTGTCATTGGCCTATTAGTAGTCTCATTGTTTATTTTTATGCTGTCTTATTTTAGGAAGTTCATCTTGCTTGCTGTATAAATCATATATCATTTCAACTAGACACAAATTATTTCTTCTTTGTTAAGTTATTAATGAAGTTGTAATAGTGAGTCTTATTATATTTCCATATCTTCTTTGTTCTCACGTAAACATCAAATTAAAGAAGAATATATTTAATAAATTTTATTTTTATAATATTAAATTTTATAATATATCTACATTAATATTTCACATTTTAAAATGCATTTATTTTAAATTACAACCAAAATGGAGTCATTAAAAATATATAATTTAAGAGAATGAATGACGAACACACATAAGAATTAAGAGTGCGTGATGTAAAATTAGACAGTACTTAAATATTGGGATCATTAAGACTTATTACATACGTAGCAGGAGATCAATGAATAATGATGAACAATAAATGAGGTCAATGACTAGTAAAACACTAAAGGTCTATTGAGACGTGCATGTAACAGCGAGAAGTCACTAGGGCTGCACCTGGTATCGTACGGGGTTATGCGTATTCGTGATTCCTTAAATCGCTTCTCTGGATATTAACAGTTGTTTTATAAGAAAATTGGATACTCTTGTTTCTTATATATAATGTAACTGACAAATAGGCTCATAAATTTTATCACTATTTATGTCATATCCTAATGGCTATGTTACCAGTATCTGTTAAGACGTAACCAGCGCAGTGTTTCGGTATCCAAATAGCGGTATAATTAAGAATGTTGAAACGATGAAGTATGTGCCTAAGCAAACAATAATCGTGTTGTTGTTGTTGTTACATTTCTTTAACAATATGACGACCATGTAAATACGGCGCTGTTCGTAGTATACTAATAAAAATCGTTTTTAAATCTTGTATTCTTTTATTTCTCGAAATGATTCATGCAAAAATTTTAGTTGACACGATAAAACGGTGTTTTGCCTTTCACCTATACTGCTATATATCAAGTTATTTTTTTCTTATTAGAATAAAAATTAGCTTATCTTTCGAGTGGAGTAAAATACTAGCTTATTTTGGACTAACAGTCTCATTGCTAGCAATATTCTTTATCGACTTCTACCTAATTTCCCTTGGTTAAATATGGTGGTTAATTGTTGAATTCGTTAATTCAATTCATTCATTACCCTCACCTATCAATCTTTATTTATATTACCAGTCCCATACTAGCAATATACCCTGTCGAGTCGACCTCTCTGTGGCGCCTCCTGGAATTTCATTCTCGCCTATCATCTTTTACTGATTCCCCGCCAGCGTATACCGTTAGTACAGGTGGGGTTCCATTCTTTTGTCATCCATTATAATTATGATAGCGCAGACGGAGTGATCATTCCATTTTCATCCATTAACACCATAACACCCTTTACCGTCTTCATTTTTAGGGTTCCGAAGCCCAAAATGAAAAATAGAATCATAGGATCATCTTGTCTGTCTGTTAAGATCCTTTTTTTTTCAGAAATGCGTGGAGATGAAATTTATATCAAATACTCAAGTCAAAAAGCAATACCAATCAATACCATCCAGAGGGGAAAATCAGAAAACATCTTATTTAAATGGACAAATACAATTTATTGAATGTAAATACTGAAATTTGTTTTACATATATACCTATATGATGCGATTATGTTATATATTGCGTGATAATACTAGTAAGTTGTCTTTTTATAAGTACATAGTTTTTTGTACATTCAAATTTATGTTATAAATATTTACAGTCCACTGCTCCGTCCCCAACGAAAACAATTGCAAATAAAGCTAGTTGTTCTAGTTTGAACTAGTGATCCATCGCAGCTTCCCATTGGAGAGACAATATATTTTTTTTAAATACAGCCCATGTTAAAGTTGGAGCTACTATACTATCCTACATATGAAAAAAATAATTATTTGTTCTTATAAGAAAAAAATAATTATTTGTTCTTTAGAATATTCGTTTACCTAGTTAGGTAAAATCCATAAAGAATTCATCACTCATTTTAAAGTATGTTATATACATATATTATAGTATGTATTGAAATACTTTACTGTAAATAATATTCTTGATGTTTAAAGTAATAAATGAACATAAGTTTTACGTATAATAATTTTGATGATTGGCTTGTCTCGAACTTGAACGTTTACGATCACTCGAAGCTCGGCTTTCCATCAAGAAATGTCGGAATCTACAAATGGAGAATAAAGTAAATTGATTTTCTCTTGAAAATCTTGTCCGATTTAGATTTTTTTCTCCAATTTGTGATATTGATTCGAATGCACAAGAATGGGAATTCTGAATAGATCTCTGTAAGGAGAGAATAGAATCGAGACTTCTAGTTTTGTTATTACTGATAAAAAAAGGTATAGGTATAAAAATATCGCTAATTCGAGGTTCAAGAGTAAAATTAAATTATATACCACCAGAACACGTGAATGAAAAATTACTAAGGTATTTTAAGTATCTGCTTAAGAAATAAAACAATGATTTGAATTTTGTTTTATTTAGTGTACAAAACAGATCTGATGCATTTTTGTAAGTATATAGTTTTACAATAATAAAGGAGTGTAATTATAGAGAAGCTGCCTGGCTTTTTTTTTAAATTATGTATTATACACACACACACATGCATATTCATGGTAAACTTTTAATATCAGTGTGTTGGTTTGTTGTTGATTTGGAATATTTGTTTATAAAAGTATATATGTACAATTTACCTGACATTTGAAAAACGTAAGGCAATTTGCGTGTATATTCATACAGTGTATGTCCAAATCATATACTTAGTAATCCATATCTGTTGTCCAGAAATATTTCAACATTTGTATAATAATAGAGAAACCCAGAGTGCAAAATTTACAGTAACTAAAGCGTCATGGAAACCTGTTGGATCGTGAAGATTAGGTTTTAAAATTGTAACTAAAATTTATTTTTCTCAATTTATAGTTGAATATTATACAATGTTGATCTACTCTTTTTAATAAAAGTTTACCTTGAACACATTAATTACCTATGATGACGTGAAGGCGAGCGGTAACTACAGACTACTTCCTAGAGATTTCTCAGATTATTTCCTAGCGCGGGGCCTAGGCCTGGGCCGGGCACGAGGCCTTGGCCGCGGTCGACGGCGCCGCACTCGGGCTGTCCGGCCCCGCTCCAGTTGCGCCGTCACCAGCTCTGCTAGGGCTCCGCGTTCCGCAAGCATTGATAGGAAAGTGCATATAAACTCATCATAGTTGTGAGTCCGCCGGCAGTCGTCCACCTGAAAGTTTTATTTGCTTAATAAAGTCCCGACACTGGCACAGCCTAAATTGGTGGATTTTATATAGGTCGAGAAGCATGAAATTTATCAAAGACAAAAGAATACTCAAAACGATTTTTTAAAATTTATTCACTACAATAGGGCCAAAAGCTGCTGTAAATAGTAATAATTTACTTAAAAATTGAGTTGCCAAGTACAAAAGTTACTAATTCTAAAATATTGTATACAATTTATAGCAGGTAAAAGGCAAATATTTATAATATAGATATATCATACAAGCAATTAAGTTTAAATAGAAAATACATAATCCTAGCTGCTGTATATAAGGTCACTTTTGTCATATCATCATCAATATTTAATATGAATATTATTCTTACTTTATACATATCTCTTTTATCATTTTCGTCATTTAGTGCCTGTTGACACGATTGTACCTCGCTGACAATGCTACTCATCAGAGCATTCAGTTCAGTGTGAGTGAGCAATAATTTCTTTAGTTTGTAAGGCTGATCTGGAGTACTTTCACATCCCATCAGTATTGGTAAATCATTGCTTTTCATTAAAGCTGATGTAGATGTTGGATATATCTGGAACAACACAAGGAAAATTATTTTTAAATCTCAGTTTCCATCATTAAAATGCACTTATCATTTTGATAATTCAATGGAAAATAGAATCAATTTATACTTAATGAATGTTTCGCACAAGACTTTTATTGAGTAAATTCAAAGAAAATTACTATTTGTAATAAAAAGAAACTTGAAACGCACATCACCGACGATTTGATTTTCTCTGTTTACTGTGAAAAATCGCACAATAGCACCTTGTTCAACAGGAGGAGCTAAAACAAAAAATATACTCAGTATTAACAGCTGTGTCAATCTGATTTTCTTTATCTCTATTTTTTATTATCTCACCTAAAACAATACTATTATCTTGCTGTGGTCGATCTGTTGCACCAATTTCAATAGTTATAGGATGAGTATAGTCCAGATCATACAATTGTACCTGAGCTGATTCTAGGGAGCAAAGAATGTTTTCCTCACTGATCTGGCCAAGATTGTCATTTATAACAGGCCTCTCGGTTGTAGTCTGTATCAATTCCCCTTGTTCTGAAAAAGTAGTAGTAATTTCTTTATATATAAGTTATTAAGTAATTAATAAATATATGAATAACGTAATTTTTCAAAATTTTTTGACATTAGTAAAAACAAGAAATGGTATCCAAATGAAATAAATGAATATATATATATATTCATTTATTTCATTTGGATAATAAAATAATTTAGTTATTTCCACCAAATAATACATCATACTATTCCTTAAATTTCTGTATATTAAATCCTACTAGATGGATTTTGATTTTATATTGAAACCTTCCATTTGTACAGCCATTTTATAACATTATTGCAGGGAACAATTAAGCATAAGAGTAGCAATTGTTTAACTACCCACCATTATATTCTCTATTTTTAGATAATAAGTGTCTAAGATGTTTTCCAATTTTTGATATCGCTTCTTTGACTCTCTTTTGATTTAATTCCAGAGCACTCAGTTTCTGTGTTAATGCTATTCTTCTATCAGGTACAACAGCCATCAAGTTAAATCTGAAAAACATCACTATTTTGTTTTTTGTTTGTTTTTAACAGATAATATCTTTCAAATACATTAATAGAATTTTATAATATTTTTTACCACAAAAAATCAAATCACTTTGTGTCTATAATGACTTTTCAATTAATAGGGTTTAACTTTCTATTATAGAATAATACACTGTATTACAAGCCTATGGTACTTTCCATGTATTGCCATTCATGAGAATTAGTGTTCTGGTTCATTGTAGAAAAATAAACAAGTATTATTAAAATATTCTGCTGCATTATAGAAATGCTGCATACATTTTGAATAGGATCCCATTTCTTATAAGTGGATTTAAAACACTATTATACTCATACTAATAATACCCTATTATATACATTGCATAATTATATTGATTTATCTAATCAAATATTTACCTGATATCATGAACCTGTTCACCAGCATCCCGTCCCAGTCTCTCTGCCATAACTCTTCTAAATTTATCAGTCCAGTCTTCATCTGCAGCCCATGGTCCATGATCTGTTGGATATGGTTTGAGGCCATCTAGCTCAAACAAGTGTCCATTTATGGGTACAAAGCTAACAAAATGATATGCTTCACCTAATAAAAATATCACATACAATAATAAAGGTAATTTTATTAAAGATAAATACTAGTTTATTATCCACTATTTTAGATTTATGGATTTTAGAAGTAGAAAAGCCAATTAAATTTTGTTAAGAGTTATTTTAGATGGCATTTCGAGATGAAACATATATGAGATTTAAAGTTTCAACCTCCAGGAACATAACTATGAAAACTGCATTCAATTTGGCACAATAGTTTTTGTATGATTCCAGAACAAACATACAGACATGTAAAATTCCTAATAATTATAATTTAGGCTTATATTGCTCTTATTATAACTCTTCAAATAAATTTTTCTTAAATATCTCTCATATACAGACAGACAGAGCTAAATATCAACTAATATAGGCAAAATAGTAATTTGAAATATATACATTACTAGTCTTTACATAAAATTTCATCCACATTTCCAGGATATATTTGCTGATCAAGATAAAAGTAACCTGTATAACCCTCTGCGCCATGGGTGATGTAGGCTGATTAGATAGATACAATGAAGTATTAATGTTTCCAAACCTGTGAAGCGACCTGTAGATACACCAGCATTCTTATCAGTTTTCTTTCGTGCCTGTGGTATGGCATGGGAGTTGTGGGCACAAGCTAATTCTGGTGTATTTCCAATTGCCCAACCTTTGTTCTCTGGATTCATACCCAAGGTATGATGCTATAACAAAAATCTATAGTGTATAAAAAATGTCTATAAATCTATTAAACTGATTGTTTATAAATAAAAATAATTTAAAATATAAATATCTTGATTTAAAAAACAGGGAAAGGTAATGGCGTAAAGTTACTACCTATTGAATAGATAATTTGTAAAACTGACCTTTAAACGACTTAAAGTTTCTCCAAGATGAAGATTAGGACAATTTAATAAAATTGAAAGTAAAGCATGCGTAGCACAACTATTCGGGACCATTTGTTGAGCAAAAAATATATTGTTTATAGTTTCTTCGTCGCGGACAAAACTTTCTATCTGATCTACAAATTTTCGGCGTGACCTTCGCTCTTCTATCCATCGGAATAAAAATATAAATCCGTAAACTGGGCTTTCTAAAGGCTTGTGTAGATCATAAATCTCTTCAACTTGTACTCCTTTGACACCAAAGTCTTCCAGTAATAATGTGAAAAGTCCAGGATCACTTTCCAGTTCTAGCCACCCTTCCGTTAAGCTGTTTAGTTCTACAGGCATATTTTTATAGATAAATATGTAAAAAAAAATAGAGAAAGATAAAATTTATAAATGTTTATTTTTGATGAAAAAAGAAATCAATATATACAAAAATATTAAAATTGATTTATATTTATTTACGCGATGCTACTAAGCCGGTAATACTATTGGTTTGTACTATAAACTGTATATAGTTGCGATATATGTATATTGGTCAATAATTATAAATATATATAGACCTTTACATTAGATATTAGTTACTAGTGTTATAACCGTTATCGACATCGTCCTTCGGCTGACTGTCTTTGAATATAGTCTTTTAATGTGTAGTCGATTGCGACATAGCAGTGTGAATCGGACCGCTCAATAATACAAAATCGCACTTAACGCGATATACTTATTTATCACGCTATTTCAATACTTGATCGAATAAATAGTTCATCTAAGAAAATGGGGGAGAACATTTATAATTACTTCCATTTTTGTATTATTATTTTTTTTATTCAGAATAAATGGTTTTCTAAATATTTTTCTTGATGATTCTTGAATTTTTCTTGAAATATTTTACTTGAGTAATACGTATATACTTTAATTAATGTTAAGGAATTTAAAATGAAATTAAATAATAGGTGCATATAAAAGGGGCTGGGTAAGCCGTGCCCATTCCAAAATTGTTTGGTACCCACCCCAGCACCGTGTTTTTTTGGTGGTAACAAATACCGAAATATATAGTTACAATATCTGATATTGAAGTTAAATAACCAGTACCAATTGAAAATTGTAAAAAAGCGATATTAAAGCTAGAAAGTGCCATACGCTAACGAGTGAATGTCAATCAGTCAATCAACGTCAACGTCACCACCGTCCAACGATGCCATTTACAATGTATTTTCTCAATTATTAACTTCTCACAATGGATTACAAAGTCCTAATAATTCAGTGGAACTGTCGTAGCATAACAAACAAGAAATCAGACTTATTTTATTTGATTAATAAATATAATCCTTTTATAATAGCTCTCCAAGAGACTTGGTTAAAGCCAGGATATCCTTTTAGGATTTCAGGCTTTACAAGTCTCCGTGATGATAGAGCTGACGGATATGGCGGTGTTGCCATATTGGTCAAAAACTCCCTTCCTTTTTCTTCTTTTTCGCTTCCTGTATATAGCGGCATTAATGCAGCTGCTATAATTATAAATGGTATCTGTTTTGTTACTTTATATATTCCTGATCCTACATGCCAAATATATTCACAACTAGAACAATTATTTTCAATTTTACCTAAACCTTTTCTCGTAATGGGCGATTTTAATGCTCAACACCAATCGTGGGGCAGTTCTACTTCTAATTTTTATGGTGGAAAACTCCTGACGATAATTGACACTTACAACTTATGTATTATTAACTCAGATGTACCAACACGTAGAACTGCACCGAATGAAGGGTTTAGTGCTCCTGACATTTCAATATGTTCTTCTGATTTAGCTTCTTCACTGTCGTGGTATCCTCATTCCTCTACTTTCGGAAGCGATCACTTTCCCCTCATTCTTTCTTTTCCAATTTCCATTCCCTCAAGTCGAAAGAGTGGTCCTCGGCTTAAATATAATTTATCAAATGTAGACTGGAATATTTACAAACAATATTTAGATAATAAAATATCGGAGTTACCTATTGTTTACCATGGAAATGAACATCAATGTTGTAATGACTTGATGATAAATATGAAGGAGGTTGCTGATTTATTATTTCCTGTTAAAAATAGTGCTTCAGGGAAAATTCCCTCGCCACCTTGGTGGGACAAAGATTGTACGGAAGCAATTAAAAATCGTAAAGAGGCTGAAAAAAATTATAATAATTACATGACACCAGAAAATTTTGAAATTTACACCGCAGTTTCACGTTCTACTCGAAAACTACTGAAAAAAAAGAAATTAGAAGGCTGGAGAAGATTTTGTTCTTCTATCTGTCCAGAAGTTAATTCATCAGTCGTTTGGAATAATATTAAAAGATTCAGATCTGCCTTTAGTGATCATACATCACGTTCTGCACTCGATTTAACTTTAGCGAATAAATTTTTAGATCGTCTTGCTCCTAGTTATGTGCCGGAATGCCTTTACAATATTTCTCTATCCGTCTCTGACGAATTATTCGAACTTGACTCTCCTTTTACTCTAGTAGAACTTAAAGGTGTTCTAGCTTCTATTAAAGACTCTGCACCGGGAGAAGACGGTATACCGTATTCCTTTTTTAAAAATGCTAGCGATGCGACATTAATTTACTTTTTAAATATAATTAATTCCATAATTATTTCGGGAAATATACCTACTTCATGGAAGTCTCAGATTATTATACCATTTCTAAAGCCTCATAAACCACCTTCTGAACCATCTTCATACCGTCCTGTTGCACTTTCCTCTGTCTTACTAAAGCTAGCTGAACATTTAGTGAAAAACCGTCTAGAATGGTTTTTAGAAAGTAATAACTTACTATCCCCGAACCAGTTTGGTTTTAGGAAAGGTAAGAGCACCTTAGATAATGTGAGCATTCTTATTTCAGATATTCATATAGCTTTCTCACAAAATTTGTCAATCCTCTCAGCCTTTTTAGATATAAATTCTGCCTATGATAATGTAATAATTTCTATTTTAAAAACTAAATTACAAGCTCTAAATGTACCGGTAATGCTTTCTAATTTCATTATTAATATTTTATCAGAAAGAACAATATATATGAATTTAGATGAAGATACCAAATTATCTAGAACAGTATGGAAAGGCCTTCCACAAGGATCTGTTCTCAGTCCAATCTTATTTAACATATACACATACGATCTAGAATTATTCCTTGATAAATCCGTCAAAATTTTACAATATGCTGATGATCTTTTATTATATTTTATTGCGAAGTCCATAGAATCTGCTTCTGCCAAATTATCTGATTCATTAGATTTGTTAAAAACGTGGTTAGATGCAAATGGTCTTAATCTTTCTGTAACCAAGAGTAGTGTAGTTTTGTTTTCAAGAATGAGATCACCGCAACAAATTAAGGTGCTTTATGATAACTCATACATTCCTATAAAGACTGAAATTAAATTTTTAGGTATCGTGCTAGATAATAAATTAACAGGTCTGTCCCACTGTAATTATATTTCTACGAAATGTGAGCGTAACCTCAACATTCTTAGGTGCCTTGCTGGAGTTTGGTGGGGAGCACATCCCGTTTCACTAAAACTTGCTTATAATGGTCTTATAAGGAGTGTCATTGATTATGGAACTTTTTTGTTAGCTCCAGGAAGTTCATTTGCTTTTAAGAAATTGGATTTAATTCAATCAAAGGCCTTGAGGATTATCTCTGGAGCAATGAAATCAAGTCCAATCAATGCTTTACAGCTCGAAGTCGGTGATCCACCTTTGGTTTTAAGAAGACAATATCTATCTGATCGCTTCTTTTTTCGTTGTTTACAATTATCTGATCATCCGCTTATTCAAAAGTTATCTCAACTACATATCTTTATTTCGTCTTCATCTTATTGGAAACATAAAAAACCTCCATGTTTAATACAAAGTTATGAAAAATATAAATCCATAGAATCTCCCACTTTTACATCGTCCTGTTTTCCCATTTATAAATGCTCATATCAATCTTTAGTTTTATCTCCTAATATTAAATATGATTTTGGGTTATTAAAAAATGATTCAGAATTGAATGCCAAATTTATGTTTATAACTGACATTGAATGGAATGAATGGCACTACATCTTTACTGATGCATCAAAACCAGACAATAGCGGTTGTGTAGGTGTGGGTGTGTTTCATTCACAATTTAATATCGTTCAAAAAATTAAACTTCCACCGGAGTCTTCAGTTTTTACCGGGGAATGTTATGGTATTTTAAAAGCTGTAGAATATATACTTTTAATGAAATTACATAAGGCAATAGTTTTCACTGACTCTATGAGCTCTTTGCAAGCTCTAGCCAAATATCCGTTTAAATCAAAACCAGTTTATCCCATTATTTGTGACATAAGACAAAGTCTTTATCTTTGCATGTTGAGAGGTTATTCCGTTTCTTTTGCCTGGTTACCAGGACACAGTGGTATTAGCGGCAATGACAAAGCTGACCTTATTGCAAGAGAGGCTGTAACTTGTGGTGATATGTATCCGTATCATAATTACTGTAGTGACCTAGCTTGTCTCCCAAAAATATATTTAAGGTATGCCTGGAAGGAATATTGGGAAAAAACAAGTACAATAAAAGGAAGATTTTATCGCCTTATACAACCCGATATTCCTTTCAAACCATGGTTTTGTAAATTAAAGCTTGGAAAGACCGCAACAACTATTATAACTCGTATGCGTCTAGGTCACGTATGCACACCTTCTCATTTATACAAGCTTGGTATTGTACAAAGTTCGTCGTGTAATTGCGGTGCTGAAGTGGCGGACTTGAATCATATATTCTTCTCATGTTCTAAATTTGACCACACCTCCCTTTTTAATCATCTCCGATCCATCCGTGTTCCATTCCCAACTTCTATTCTTACTCTACTTTCTTCCAATGATCCTATTATCTATAAAATACTATCTTCATATATATATGATAACAATATTAAGATTTAGTTATATTACATGAATACATTTATAGTTGCATCAATTGCTTTTCCTATATATTTATAAGTATATTCTCATATGTACAAGTATATCCTTCATATCCTATAAATATCCTAGACCTAATCCTTATCCTTTCTAAATTCGTTTGTGTTAGGTATTTTTATTACTATTATCGTTTCCCCGTTTTGTTCTTGGCAAAATACCCTAATATCGGGGTGAACGCCACAAAAAAAAAAAAAAAAAAAAAAAAAAAAAAAAACGTCAACGTCAATGTCAACATTGTCAAATTCTCAATATGGGGCAATTCTACTGACCGAACCCTTGCTTTTAAAGCTCAAAAGAGATGTCTGATGGCAGCTTGCAATATTAAATCGGTAGACAGACACAACAGACCTTTTATTGTATAACAGTACATATCAGACCTTTTATTGTACAATAAAGCCTCAAAATCACAAATAAACTTAATTCGCTTAAAGATATCATCTGAAACGAGGATATCCGCAAAAGAACCAAAGTTTTTTTATGCAACTTAGAATGGCAAACAAGCTGACGGCCTACCTGATGGAAAGTGGTAACCGTCACCTATAGACATAAGCAGTACTATGGACATAACAGAGTGTACTGTTTCGCCCATGATACCCCCCATGCGTTGTCATTCCTGAGGACTCGGGTGTTATTTCTCTGTACCGTGTAAATTCACTGCCACATCCCACCCTTCAAATCGAAACACAGCCATGCAAACACAATTGTTGCACGGTAGAAACACAAATGGGACAATCGGTTTTTGTATATAGTCTCCCTCTGGTAAAGTAATTAACATAGCCCGAAGGATAAGCAAGCTGAAGTGGCAATGGGCTGGTCACATAGCTCGAAAAACCGACAACCGATGGGGAAGAAAGGATCTTGAGTGGCGACCCCGTACGGGCAAATGCAGTGTAGGATGACCCCCCATTAGATTAAGAGAGTTTATGGCAGTCAATGGGGGATGCTTATGTCTAGCAGTGAACGGATATTAGCTGAAATGATGATGATGATGAAAATTTAATGGTAATCTCGCTTGCGCTATTATAACGGATTCCACTGGCCTAGCAGAGCACTAATATCAGTGAGACGATAAGCAAGGATGACATAAAATTTATGCCATGAGTTATTATGGTAAATTACACAGAGAAGAATGAATTACATATTAACTAGTGTGGTTTTGCCATGGAATTTGATCTGATAGAACGGAATATTAACCCGCCTATGCTAACAGTATACACTGGCAGGGCAGCAGTGAGGGATGATAGGCGAGGATGAAGCAGGCCAGTTAGGCCATTGTGATAAATTTAACAATTAATTAGTCACGATGTTTTTCAGGAGAACCGCCTAGAAGTCGCCCTGATAGGGTATATTACTAGCAATAGGATTATTAAGCCCAATTACTAAAAGTCCCTTCTCGCCTCGTTTCGCCTACGTAGAGTAGGATATAATCACAGTATAAGTACATCGAACACATTTTCTCATGCACAGACATTTGTTTTTGTAGTAGTGACAATCATGGACCATGGCGTTTTTATAATAAGTGTAGGTGTAGTAGAAGGTAACATCAAATTAGCAATGTAGCCATTATTGTTAATAATATATACCCTATCAGATTATAATTATTCCATGATGCACACGATGGAATATCTTATTAAGGTTATTCTTATCTAGCATCTTTAACATACATACATACGAGTACAAATTCACAAAAATTAGATTTGTGTCAAATTAAGCTTAGTAGGGTTTGTTTGGTTGTACATTGAGAGATATTAGCTTAGTAGGGTTATGAGATTCTTTTCTGAACAAACAAACAAACAAACAAAAATCTACTTAGATACTTTTAAAATGCATAAGTAGAATAGGTAGGTATTGTGGGTAACGAATACTTAGAAACATTTCATCTTTCAGACCAGAGGGAGACTTTGTACAAAAGTCGATTGCTTGGGTACCTCTGTCCCATTCGTGTTTCAACCGTAAAGCAGCTGTGTTTGCATGGCTGTGTTTCGGTTTGAAGGGTGTGATATGGCGTGAATTTACTGGGTACAAAGGAATAACATCTGAGTCCTCAGGAATGGCAACGCATGGGGTGTATCATGGGCGAAACAGTATACTCTGTTATGTTCATAGTACTGCTCATGTCTATAGGCGACGGTTACCACTTTCCATCAGGTGGACCGCCAGCTTGTTTGCCATTCTAAGTAGTATAAATAAAAAAAAAAAATCTATAGGCAAAGTTTTTTATGACTTTATATTGATAGTACAGATGGGCAAAGCACCGGGTTTAAACCCGGTGCTTTGGTAAAAACCCAATAAACACCCATAAACTCCCATAATCACCCAAAAAAATAGGTTTTTACGTATTTTTTTGAAAATATGTAAGTAATACCAATAAATTATTTTTATAAATTGTATTGATCAATTCTACAATATTAAATAAAACGTTAACTAATAATATTTCAGGAAATTTTAAAAATCTATATATAATAAAATGAAAGTAATTAATTTTCAGTGTTTTCATGTTGCAGTTGATCAACATGTTGGCCTTTTGCTTCCCGTAGATACTTTAAAATTTCTTCATAACACCTCGTTCGCACACATGGCCGTATATATTTAAATTCTTGAGCCACTAACAGTCCGAAATACTCATTTCTTTTATCCTCTTCTCCATAAATTAAGCATTTAGAACAGTTTGTTTCTTCTTTCAGTAAATTTTCTTTTACTTTATCCTCGTTTTTTTTATTTGTTGCGACGACGCTGGGTAAATCATCTGGACACTGGGTCTCACTATCGCCAAATATATTTGGAGATCGGCTTCGGCTACGGCTTGGCAGACATTTTTTTCTTTCTACAATTTTAAATTAAATTTATTAGAATAAATGCTTCGAACACACGCGATCTAAGTACCTTTTGTGTTTATTATACCTTACCTACCTAGGTATAAAAAGAGTACTTACGTAGATTTTCTTTTATTAACTGTTTTATACGAAGATCTTGATCTCTCAAATTAGCATCCATTTTACTTCCAGTGATTATCAACTAAATTAATAATCCACAAAGTATTAAATAACGTTTTTATGAAATATTTAGCACAAAAACAATACCCTTTAAATATCGATCGTCAGTAACTGTGGCTGACTTACCTATATTCTAGCAAGCAGGACTGCCAGATGTGAAGGGGAAATCCCCAATAAATTGTTGCATGTGACTGATGATGTGAGCATGTTCGTTTCATAATAAAAATGTTGCCAGGTAACCAAAAAGTCGTATGTTTTTGTGCGAATTACGATCATAATCTTTACGATCGTACATTAAAAAATAGACAAATAATAGTATGAGTACGATTTAAATCGTATATCTGTCAACCCTGCTAGCAAGACAGCGACAAAATCACGTTGCATAACAATGTAGCCCAAGCTTATATCTTATGAAATATACGGAAGAGATACGGACTTAGAAAAAACAGAAATGTTGTTCTTTGTGGAAGTCATTGATGAAATTCTATGTATTTTAGCCCGCAAACTTTCTTCAAACAAAAACAGCGCCATCTAGTATCGAGTTCTGTAATTATCTCTTTGTTTATGGATTTGAAGTAAGACCGCCACGCATGCAATACATTATGACTGGGGATTCCCTATTCGTCGACGCTGAATATGAGGCGACGACAATCACTGTCAAACGTGTTCACTATTACTCTGACTCTGGTAACGTGACTTCCTGGTAACGTGTTAGGTAGGAAAAGCAGTAAAAAAGTGCATATTAAGGGAGCAGATTTGAAATAATATTTATACTTAACAAGAAATAATTAAAGGTAAGTGGATTTTTGAATGATACAATTATATCATGATCACTTAACAATTTTAACTTAAAATTAGATGTATTATTACAAGCTTTTATTTAGCTTGCGTTATGTAAATAAAAGTATGTAGGTATGTTCGTATGTTGATGCAATTATCCTCAATCCTCAACCGACTGGGATAAAATTTTCCATACACGTTTATTTTGGATGATAGTGCATAGTTAGCTGAGAGTCGTCATTGGATAATAATGGTGGATAGCCTAAGATGTGTACTAGATATTTATTTTTAACATAATATGCGTAAGTACCTAATCGAATTAAAGAAGTTGCTGAGAAAAATACAGAACAATACGATAATAAACTAGCGTCTGCGTTTAATCCTCCGAGGAGATGTAATTTTACAAAGGTTTTTTGTATTTATTTTATTATTTTTTTAATAAATTTATTGTAAATAACAAGAAATAATCATTGTAAAAAAATAGGCACTCTATTGTTGAATTTTCGTCAGACCAACTAATCATCGTTCATTTTTTTAGGTTCAATGGGGAGACCTAAAGATTTACGCATATGGGAGCACTACCGTACTTTACCAAACAAGTCTGTTTCTTGCAAGCTTTGTAATAAGGTCTACAAATTCAGTAATGCTGCCAAAATGCTTCAACATCTTATCACTTGTCCAAAATCTCCAGAAACATTAAAAGACTCTATGAAACTTATAAAAGATAGCTCGTCCAAAACCAAAATGTCTGGACTGTCAGAGATAGAGACAAATGATTCTTTTATAAGCCCCTCGTCGTCTGCTAACACTACAATAAATGCTGAGTTTCAAGACACCGATGATCATATAAAAACAGAATTAGCGAGAGCTATATTTGTAACAGGGACGCCATTATCGATGGTGCAACATCCTTTATGGATACAATTTTTCGAAAAATTGCAACCAAAATTTAAAATACCTTCACGTAAAGCTTTAGCGACAAAATACTTAGATAAAATATATAGAGAAATGCGTTTTGAGTTAAATGAGGAACTAAATGCTTGTAGTTACTTACACCTTCAGTGCGATGGCTGGTCTAATTTAAGAAATGAAGGAATAATAAACTTTCTTATATCAAAACCTCAACCTGCATACGTTAAAAGTTTGAATACAGAAAGTAATCCTCACACTAGTGAATACCTTAGCCAAGAAGTTGAAAAAGTAATGAAAGTGTATGGAGCAAATAAGTTTCTTGTACTTATTGGCGATAACGCTAGAAATATACAACACATGTTGTTCCTCTCGGTTGCTGTGCACATATCCTTAACTTGTTGTGCCAAGATATTGTAAAGATACAAGAAGTAACTGTGTTTATTATGCAAGCCATAAATATAATAAAAACTGTTAAAAGGAGTCAACGATTAAGTTCCTTGTTGATAAAATCAAGGCAGGGTGAAGATTCTACACAAACACTAAAATTGCCTTGTGCTACAAGATGGGGAAGTCATGTTACTTCGTTAAAAAGTTTGAAAGCAAATAAGATAGCTTTGCAAATATTAACAGTTAGAGAAGATGTGGTAATTTCAAGAGATATTAAAGATTTAATTCTAAGTGATGATTTCTGGACGAAGACAGGGGAATGTATAAGTATTTTGGAACCAGTCACTGAAAGCATATTTTACTTAGAGAGCGACCAGAATCGTTTGCATCGCACATACATTACATTTAGAGATGTACAAGCTAAGATACGTTTTGCATTAAATGAGATTTCGACATTGAGCGAAGAAAGCAAACAGCAGATTCTAACATCAGTATCTTCAAGATGCAATATGGCAATGAGGCCAATACATTTTGCAGCATATATTCTAGACCCCAGGACTCTAGGAGTCGAACTTACTCAAGAGGAAGAACTTAAGGGTATGGAGTTTATCTACAATTTAAGCCAACACTTAAGTTTGTCAAATGTAATGGCAGATTTGGCGTGTTATAAAGCTAAAGAAAACTTTTGGGCCAGAGGATTTGTATGGAGCTCATTAGATAGCATTGAGCCCCTAATATGGTGGAAAGGTATTTGTGGTTCCACTGAGTTAAGCAAAGTAGCGATTCGTATTCTATCAGCTCCCTGTACTTCGGCAGCCACTGAGCGTTCCTTTAGTATCCAAGGCTACATACATAATAACAAAAGAAATCGACTTACAACTGAAAGAACTGAAAAAATTTCATTCATTTGTTATAACTGGAAGCTTTCATTGAGCAAGTAAATGAACATAACAGTTTAGACGAAATAGAGCCTATCGAACCTATACAATTCATCGCTTGTAATAACTCTGAATCTGACAGTGATTGACTGTAGTTTTACATTTTACTTTCATCTCTTTCTTAATAAACTCAAAATCAAATTAAAAGTTTTTTATTCTGTAGGCTGCATAATAATATTGTCTATGTCCAGTATAGTGGACGTCTTGCGGCTGAGATGACGATGATGAAGTACAAAATCATAAACACCCAAAAATTTGGGTGTTTATGGGGTTTAAACCCAATAAACCCAAAACACCCGGTTTTTACCCACCAGACTTTAAACCCACCCAGGTGGATTGCCCATCTCTAATTGATAGACATAGGAGATAGGATATAGGGGTGCGATATTTATTAGTCGTCATTGGTAAGATCATATTCAACAGTGGTTGATAGGATTCATCTGCAGTTGAATGAGCTATATTTGCACATAATATAGCATTTCAATAAGGAGAAGGAGCATAATAACAACAAAACAATCGTTTTACTCAACAACATTTATTTTATATGTACACTATTAACATTTGTTTATTTTGTACAATGTACGAGTACAAATAATAAATGCACAACTTCAGCATCGTAAAATTCTAAAGTAATACCTTGCAGGCACGCACAATATTATTTATGTTACTTTTCAGTTAGATTTAAATTATCTTAAGCACACATAAATATGTCGATATGTTATATTATAGTTTGGTCCCACATTTAATTATTAGAAGCTCATTTTCACTTTTTTTAATAATATACGTAGATGTATTGCTCTTATTTTATTAAGTATCTATGTATTTAAGTACTCATTTGTATTCATATTCAGGCCAATAAAACACAACAGAACGCCATTAATAGTCGAAAATTGTAATTTAGTGAAACCACCCTCTCGATGGATCAAAATTAAATAAATAATTAGGTATTTTTATACGAATCTAGAATCGAACATTAATTACTTCGAAAATAAAATAATACCTAAGTTACAGTAGCTCGAGTATTGTTTATATGTAGGTAGGTATATCATAACTTCAAACCAACTGCAGTTAATCATGTAGGTAGTTGTATGTATAAATGTTAAACAAAGTTAAATGTTTCTTTTATTTGATAATTAATACTTTATTTGTTACAATAATCGGATTTACTGAACAGACCTAGTTATATACTTATTTTTAGAAAATAAGCATTTTCAAGACTGTCCGGGATCCAAAAGAATAATTAAGTAACTTTTACTTATAATAAAATATTTGATAAAATTGTTTTTGTAATTCGTCGTCAAGTTGTGCAATCAGAATATGTACAAATTACAAATTATTATGCAAACCTGTAAAATGAAAACTAACGTATTTACATAAACGTTATTCGATGACTAGAATCGAAAAACGGATCGGAATTATTGTTATTATGTTAAGTAATGATGTTATCAACACATCTACTATACGACGATGTTCGATTTTATTATTCGTCCATCCAACATTATCACAAGTCAGTACTTATATAAATTTTATTATAGATACTTAATATATTTCCAATATTTATGTACCTGGTTTCGCAACAATAATCTCGTCACTTGTGAGTCCATTCAGGGGGAGATGTACTATAAACACTGAATAATAGTGCTAACGATGCTATTTTAGTGACGTGTTAACATACATCTAATAAGAATGGCACAGTGCTACTACTGCATCTAGAATATTGCTGAATAGTGCAGTATAAATATTTCATATTGATATACTAACTTCACAAAGGATTTGGATCTTGGAACATACAAATATTGGAAGAGATTGATTTTAAAACTTAAATACTACAGATATAATGTTTTAACAAATTTCTTAGATATACAAAATTATAACTGTATATACAGTAGAGTGATAAGTAACTAATTACAACTGCTATAATATCACATAAGTACACATCGCTTTTATGCATCACCCTTCGATGTACCTACTAAATTAAATGAAATCGTTTCATGCTTCGAAATAAACGTACAATAAAAAAATAATACCGTAACATTGTTGAAATATCAACGACGCGACGTATTTACACACTTAAGTTATGTTTTAAGTCCGATTAATTTAGTCTCATTTATTTATTTGAATCTCCAAATTCTCGTCACATGAAACAGCAGTCGATTTAAAGTAACACAGATTTTGAGTTGACATTTCATCTGATAGTGTGTGAAGGGTTATAGGGTGGTGGTGGAGTTTTGGGGACCTGAGATCTGTGTACGGGAACGATGCCTATGTGGGGTAGGTGTGCAACATGGGCAGCTGGTGAGCTTGCGTCTTCAGGCTGGCCCGGGATCACTGAAGTGTCCGTTAGGTGCGGCGGTTCGTGGCGTGCGCTGCTTGTGGCTGGTAATAGCCTAGCCGGGTTCAGCTTTATTGCATCGTCATAAGTCGGCGGTGCTCCAGCTACCGTATCATAATCTGGCGGTTTCTGTTGCATAGTTTCTTCATCTGGCATTGTTATTACGTGGATGGGATCGTCGATCTATAATAAAAATAATTATTTTTTAATTTGGCATAATCTAATTTTTTAATATATACCTATTAAATTTAACAGGGGATTTAAATATTTGAGTTTAAGGCGGTTGGTCATTAAACTAAACTATACAACAAATACTAGATGACACTGGCACTGGAATCGAGACTTGAGGTTTTGTTTAATTTCTAATACGAAGTAAAATTTCTATATAGGCGAATGGTTTTCATTATTATATATGAATGTCAAGTATCAGATAATACGCGGAATCCTGAATTAATATAACTCACGTAATCGCAATATTTCTTGTTAGTATGTTTTTTTACAATAAAGTTGTAGAAGAGAATAAATATAAAAATTATAATAAATTATTAGTATATCGGTAAAAAATATTATTTTTATATTCTTAGATTATATTAAAGAAAGGTATATTACAGCCTAAATGGTCGCGTACAACGCGGTTTCAGAGATGCTTTCTCCCACGAACACTCAGGTTATGGAATGAGCTCCCTGCCGAGGTTTTCCCAAGAGACTACAGCATGGGGTTCTTCAAAAGGGGGATAAAGAGGTTTCTTCAGGGTCGGCAACGCGCGCGTAATACCCCTGGCATTGCAGGCGTTCATAGGCTACGGTAACCGCTTACCATCAGGTGGGCCGTATGCTTGTTTGCCACCTCAGTGGTATAAAAAAAAAGAAATAAAAGCACTCGCTAATTTAGAATTTTTGCCTCAAATTTTCTTTAATTACAAAATAATCAACAAAAGCCAAGTGTCAATTTTAGCGCAATCTAGTATTTCGTGTCCAATTTTGTTTAGTGACCAAACCACTTTAAAAAAAGAGATAAAAAAATTGCGCTTATGTTTAATTTAATATAGTAGGTAACTAAAGGACTATTTAAAAACAAAATATAATATATAAATAAAAAAATTAAAAAAAATACATATAAATAAATAATCTGTTTCCACTTAGCCAGCTATACAACTAATTATACTATAATGGACTATAATAAGATGCCCTGTAGTCTCGGAATAAAATGGGCAACTCCTTTTTTTTACGTGGCTATCTTAAGAGGCGACTAAGGAAGGGAACGTAATGGTGGAGGGATGGGCGTTTTTATTAAAATATCATCAAAACCTAACTGCTGTTGCCAACTCATCTGTCAAGCATGGCAACTACTGATAAAACCTTCTTTATAGAGGAGGCCTATGTTCAGCAGTGGACAATTAACGGCTGATATGATGATGATGTACTATAATAATATTATTTATTTATATTCTTTTTTTATCTAGAGAGAGAGAGAGAGAGAGAGAGAGAGAAAGAAAGAGATCAATATGTTCCGAATTATTCATTTCGCGTTGGACTACAAATCGTTCCTTACACAGTGGTAGTACTGTAGTTACTTGCTATCTTTCCCAGTTAACCTTGGTTTCAATGGTACCAGTTTATAAGATAGAAAAGATACTGACAATGATTTAAATGAGAGGTTTAGTGCAGAAAAGATAGTCCAATTTACATTATATTACCTGATGTGTGTCAGGTGAAGCACGGTCATTCTGCGGCTGCCTCGCCGGCGATTGCAGCCAGCAGCACATGGCGGCGCATATGAGAAGTGCGCCAGCCACTATACACGCGACGCCCACGTAGCGCACAGGCTCTGCGTAGTCTTCCGCCAGGCCCAGCCAATTTATTAGCGCGCCCGCGCATAGTAACACCATACCATATCTGTACGGCCTCTGCGATTGTCTACCCTCGTCAAGGGACATGCCTGAAAACAAAAATAATAATAGGTAGGGTTACATAACAAAATTTAAAAAAAAATTTTTTAATTATAGAAATGGCTAATAAGAACTCATGGAAAATGCATTGTTACCATTTGCGACTTTTTCTCTTAAATTTATTACTATATATATATATATAACTATTTAAAAAAATAATTTCTTCATTTATAAAATTATTGCTACCATAATGTGGATAAGTTAAACGTGTGGCTACGGTTCTTTCAAACTAGTTGTTCATCAAAACGTGGAAAGTGTTCATAGTGCGGTTTACTGGGGCAACGGCACGTAACGGGATTCGTTATTTACAAACCAGCGATAAAATGAAAGTTGGGAAAGTTTACAATTAGATGATGCATCGGTAATTTGTACAGAGTCATTCGTGTCAGAGAAAATCAAAGATGGGTATGAGAAAAGACTGAATCGCTATCCTTGATTGTTTCAAAACAATTTGTAAAGAGAACAATGTTCAATCCATCAACAAATGAAATGAATTATTTACTCATCATGAGTGTTAGATTGTAACTGAGATTGTTTTACAAATAAAGCATTAGTACAAAATTACAAATACTAAGGAATATATATTCCTTAGTATATATGAATACGTAAATATATTTTCTAGATTAGTTGGATATATGATGCTGGAGAATACATTATGAGGAGTAATTTCTAAGTGCCAAGACGTGGCGGCGATCGAGGTCAAATGCGAAGACAATGGAGTTTTATGAGATGTGGGTCAAGTTCGTAATGTGCGATCAACTGCTAACCAGTCACGCGTCCAAAATCCTTAAAATTGCAAAAACTACATTTTGTCTTATAGGTATAATGGCTGTATTTTAATTGTATACTCAATAAATATTTATTACACGAAAATCATTCTAAATACACTTATAGTACTTATGTAGATATTTACCTATCACTATCCAAAATACATAGTATTTCATAAACTTAATCTAGTTGGGTATGTATTTTTTTATATAAAAAATATAATATTCGAGACAGCGGCTCACCATTAAATCAAGGTAATAGAAAATAAATATCTAACAAACGCAATCTATTTCCTTCTGCCCCATGGGAATTTTCAAAAGCATTTTCCTAGTGAATACCTACATCATATATGTTACCTTTGTACATTTTTAGTTTGGAAGTCCTGTCTGGAGATATCCGTATTAGTTATACTATTTGTAATAAATAAAATGTATTTACCGTTTGTATATTTCAATATTCTAGCAGACTGATATTAAACTGGACGAATACTACAATGAGTCTGTTAATAAGCAAATTAATCTGATATTATGTGATTGGATGGCAGGCAATATTTTATTGGGTAGAGCTAGAAAGATAGACTTTTATCACACAACGTTAAGTTTGTGTCAGATTTCTTCGCTAAAGACTTCAATTTATGAATTTATGTAATTTATTTTTATTTTTATGTAAGCCGTTAATCACTAGTTACATCATGTCTTACGGTTTATATCTTTAATCTCCTGATCACGTTGTTCTTTAAGTATCTTTATATAGGAGAAGGTTTATCAGTTCACCTATATTTTTTGGTATGTATGTAATGCGATATCTATGACATGTCTGAAGTAGTTTTGATTACTCTATTTACTTGTTTAGTCTCATATTAGTATTATAGTGATTTTTAAGAAAGAGAGCAGCAAATTTTTAAGTTATTCGTATTAATTAGTACTAATTTTTGTTTGATACTAGTCAAATGACAGTTTATAAGATTGTAGTAGTAATTCCAAGATAGATATGTAGTTTTAAATTCCATACTTCATAATTTTAGTTTCCAAAATATATGTAAAATTTACATAATTTACTAGTAATCTTCACGTCAAGTTCTTACAGGGTAAATAGATACTATGGCGTGTAGTAATTTTATATCTATTTTTTGTTTTACTTTTTTATCTTATATTATAAACGCCAGTTCTGATTTTAAACTTCTATTTTATGTGGTATTGGATTCTTTAAAAACTATTATTAAAAGTATGTTTGTTGTCTCAGTATTTATTGTTTACTTACAATAACGGACCCTTCCGGACGAAAGACTAGAATAAATAAAATACAAGGATACCCAGGCCATTACAAATAACGGAAGACCAAGTCAGATAATTTTGATTGGAAATTTTAATTAATATTATTTTACTATTTAACATTATTAACAGAAAACTAAAGTCTTTACTGTACATTTTTGAATTTCATTTAAGTATAAATTATAGGTAAGTTATTTAGATTGTAAAAATGTGTATACAAAACATAAACTTCACTGCAGTACATATTCTAGGCAAAAATTAAATGTAACTGTTCAATATTGAATTGAAAAATGTGAGATCAGCATTTATCTAATCAGTATATCTGCGATAACTGATAGCAGGTCAGATGGTAATGGATTGTTTATGCAAATTCTAAATATACCATAAAGTCATGACATTGCCAAGGTGAAATTATGAAATATTACATGACCATGATCGTTTATAAATCAAAACTACTTATTAAAACAGCCTTGTCGTCTTTGCTTTTCGTAACGTCGAAATTATAGTTTCTGGTGTGATACTTCGTGGCCGTGCCGCCGCTACAATTTGAATTGGTTAGCGAAAAACTATGTACTACATTATATGTAAGTATATATGTTTATGTCCATTTATCGATCACATCTCTCTCCCCATCAGATTCTCCATATTAATCTCCTATTACCATACTGGCCAGGTGACCTGGTATAGATAAGATTTTATTTTGAATTTTCTTTTCCTTCCATGATTTATAAAGCTTGGTTAATTCTTAAGATTCTTACTTTTGGGGAATAAGAATTTAACCTACTTAAGGATATCTAATTTATATTTTCCCAAACAAATTTTTACTCAATAAACTTTATAGCTACTACTACTATTATTTATACAACAATACAACTTTGTATCATGCAGTAAAGTTTTATACTTTTAAACAATACCAAAATAATATTTTGGTATTGTTTAAAAGTTATCTCTAGTTTCAATTCCTAAATGTGCATAGGACGCTGACATCACGCCTATAAAATTTTATTTGAGTAGGCTTCAGTGATTATGATAACATCGACAGATTTAATCTGGGGTTAGGTAAAAACCAGTAAAACTTGGCCTATGACACTTGTAAGCAGTCCTCACCCACACGATTGTGGGGCTTCATCGCCAGTCGCAGCGCCGCGCCGCGCCACCCGTCAAGCAATAAGGCGATAATGTGATCCTTAAATGGATTACAATTACAGAGTTCTGATGTTTTTACTGCTGTTATATCTATTTTTAAATGGACACCAAATGTGGAGAGGTTTACTCTTAATTTCTTTTTTAAAAATGATATAAATAAATATTTATTATAATATTGATATTTAAAAAATTTAAAACCGAAAACTATACGATGGTACAAAAAGGGATCTTATGTGGTCACGACTTTTATTAATGGAAGTGAAGGAAATGAAAAAGAAAAAAATTAAGGATATTAAATACAAAATCTTAATTAATCAAAGGATGTTTTTTTGATGGGTGAAAATGGTATGGTATCCCCGCCTACGCTAACGGGGTACGCTGGCGGAGCACTAGTGGAGGGTGATAAATGAGAATGAAAACAGGCAATTTAGCCCATCATGATGAATTCATCAGGAATTAACCATGATAGTTTCCATTGAGAACTGCGAGGAGGTAATCAAAGGATTGTTGACCAAATTCTTCCCATATACTCGTATGTTAAGTACATGAAGTGCCATATCATTTATCTTTTCATCTTTCTAGTTGGCATTGCATGAAAGTTATTAAAATTGTAAAACCGATTATTCGCAATGAAGTAGGTGTATATACTCGTAAGTGTATCTGTAACTTTATTTAATGCTTTATCGTGCAATTTGCAATTAAAGGTGACTGAGGAGCTTCTAAACAAGCTGGAACGTTTACAAAATCTAGCTATTAGGTTTATCTTTGGTATTCGTAAATACGATCACGTGTCTGCCTTTCGCAACCAGTTAAAGTGGCTCCCTATCCGACTTCGACGTGATATGCACATCCTTTATTTCCTTTATAACATACTCAATGACCCCAATCCTCCATCGTACCTCCGCTCCCGGTTTAAATTATTACCACCACAAGTCCGTCCTAAAAACTAATATATGTAATTACAAAAGTAAATGTGATTGGTATTGGATTGAACGCAGTTTGCAATGTATTATCGAAATATATCAATGAGGGTACTGAAAAATATTCTTTTATTTCAGTGATATAATACAAATTGTCGCCTTGCACTTAACAAAAGAAAAACAATTATATTAATTGGTTGAAACAATTGTTATTTGTAACAATAAAGAATGGAATAGCTAATTATTTTAAATCATGGTCATTATGGAAGGTCACTAAAGAGAGGTCTATGATATTTAAACTTGTTTTGATGCGAAAGTGGAAAAATTTAAGGGAGGAAGGTTATAAATTCTACTATATATTTAGTTTTATATTTTCGTCAATTCTAAAGCGATTTTGATGATTAATTTATAAATCTTAAGTGTTCATAAAAAAAGGGTTTTTATTTAATAAAATTTTATAACCTGTAGCTTTTTTATTATCGTCTTTCGGCCCTTTATAACCGAAACATATTATTAGATTGTTTAATAAGGTAAAGATCATAAATATAATCATAATATTTCACAGTGACAAAAAATCAAAATTGACGTATTGTTCCCATACGTCTAAAGTGTTACAAAGCAAGGACACGTCTGGTATAATACAGGCGAGTTAACATTACATACGATTTGAAACACGGACAAGGTCTAACTAAGGCTTTGTTTTAAATATCTCAATATTACAAAATGACCCGATAGATACAAATTACAGTAAATAAATAATTTTTACGATCTCCGTGGAGTAGTGATAGGTAAGTTGGTAAATGAGATTCCGGGTTTCATACTCGGTCGGGTCTATTTAAGGAACAAACTTTTTTAAATTAACACACAAACACAGAGGTGATTGTT